CTTAAGGTGTGTTGAGCCAAATTAATCCTTTTTCCCCATGAAACCTTATAGTTAACAGAAATCCTTTATTAGTAAAAAAATTAATTACGCTCAGCAGATGTGATGTTCCATTTTTATTTTTACAATTTGTCATTAACACTCACGTTACAAAATTAAAGTACTATGTTAGTGATACTGAGCTTTTGTGTCTTCAAATGATAGTGACAGTGAAGATTCAACATCTAAAATAAGATAAAGCCCCTGGTCAGGAGGTCAAATATGATTTAAGATTGTGGTCAAAGTCTGTAAACGTCTATTCGAAATATTTAACATATTAAATTATTCCCACCAAAAAGGTAAATTGAACCTTTAAATACAGACACGTCAAGCATGATTTCGATAAATATTTACAGGCAGCTTTCTGAACCCGGTCAGATGATCACAGTGACACCAGTTTAGCAAATCAAATCACACAAACAGTCAGATTCAAGTCTAATTCAGTCCAGTCCAGTCCAACAGTCTCTGATAAACCAGTTAAACCAGTTCATCTCTCCACCCGAGTCCACTCAGCTGGAGGATCTCTGGGTCCTCTGGGCTTCTGAATCCGACAGTTAAACCCTGAAAAATAACAAAATAAAGAAAATCAGAGAAAGTATAACTTCACTATGTGACACACAAACGCAGCAATAAGAGAGCAGTCCAACTGTGAGTAAACCGTCTTCTCTTCTGTCATCACCACTGCCAACTAGCACATTTTTTAACACCATCACCTCCCCCATACCACCTACACCATGTTCAGTATTCATAAGCAAAATTTAAAATAGTTAGTAGCACACCACAGTGTAGCTGTCAGATAATAGTAATAAACATAAAACAATCCTTATTTCTGAGCAGCTAGAAAAGCTCCAATGGAACACCCAAAAGGTTTCCAAGAGCACCTATTTGACATCTTTACTCATTTTTGGAGCAAAATCTTCCTTCAGTTCTGAAAAACAGAGACCAGAGAGTTAAACAGTCCAAACTCTTTCTCTCTTCGCAGGACTACTGACCAGATCGCGACCCCCTGATAATCCTCAGTCACTTGGGAAAATGCGTTTTCCCCAGCTGGTCAGCAAGTGGTTCCCAGTCAGCAAATAAGTCAAGTCAAGTCAACTTTATTGTCACTTCAACCACAGTTAGTACACAGTGAAGCGAAACAACGTTCCTCCAGGACCAAGGTGCTACATGCAACATAAATTTACAACAGAAATAAACAGAAAACACTAAACTAGCTAACTAAGAGGCGTAGTTAGCTGGCTAGCAGAGACAAGACAGACTGACCTAACATGAATTACAACATAAATTAACAAAAACTAACTAAGGATGACTTTTTTTTCCTTTTTTTTTTGTTAACAGACAGCAGACAACAAAATGCACGTGCAAATGTGCAAACAAGAGCAGCAAAGTGACAGTGTGACAAAAAAACCCAAAACAAACAAACAAACAAATAAACATTTTTAACTAGACTGACAGGTCTCCAGGGTTGGGCAACAGAGTTTAAATGATCAGTGTAACTAGTCACAGGTTTTATAATATTGCTTAATCCTCTTTCATCCATGAAAGAGAGGATTTACAAAGTTTAGCAAGATGTTTAGCTAGACGTTTATCAGTTTAGCTAGAAGCTAGCAGTTTAGCTAGTTTGTTTCCATCTAAAGATTAAATACATCAGTAAGAACATGTTTTAAACTTTGGACACAAACTAAGATGGAAACTAAATAACAGTTTGGAGAGTTAGTATAGTTTGAATGGCTGACAAACAAAGATGTGATACCTGGTGACTAGCTATGGTTAGACTGGTATAAACACATTAGCACAGCTGTGTCTATGCTGAACGAGGGTTAAATTGTTCTTAAAGAAAGTTCATTTTTAAGGTCCCTGATGGGCAGAGTGTAACACATTAATCAGGCGGGAAGAAGAAACCGAAAACCGACCAAACTTGAGCCCAGACAACGTCTGAGACGATCCATCTACACAGAGGTCAGACATGGTTCACATTACTCTCTATGAAAAAGTCCTGACCCAAAGCTTAATGTCCACACCGAAATCTCAGTCTGAGTATTTCTTGTCGTTCTTGTCACTCTTATGTGTAGCTTAAAGACTTTCTGCCTATGAGCAGCAGCCAGTCAGAAGTATGTTAGCTTAAAAGTGGCTTGAGTTTGATTGAGGATGAACAGCACCAGTAAAATACATAATTATTTTGAACTGCAAGTACTGCCAACTACCCATCGAGTCCTTGGATAAAAAAATAAAAAAAATAAATAAATATGGAGCTAGAATGAGCACAATACATGCCCTTAAAACGCTAGCATGCAACCACTATATCATTACATACACATTAAAATGACATTTCTTAGTTGCTATTACTCAACCTATATTTACACACATGCTTTTTAGACACACCGACTCTCTAATTAGCCTAATGTGACACAGTGAGCACTACAACACACATATTGTGTAGTCCGAGCCTGGCACCGAGAGTGTGGAATCTCCCATTCAGGATCTTGTGTTTGTTTTCTTTTTTTGCTCTATTTTTTCTTGTGTGTTAGTTGGTTAGTTACAGAATCCACAGAGTATTTGATTAGGTTAGGAATGAGTTTGACTGGGTTAAAAGATGCCCCTTCTCCGTGTAGAAAAATTATGCTTACCGAGTGTGTTCAAATGTGTCAAGCGCAGTGTTGGGTAAGTTACTTTAAAATAGTAACTTAGTTACATTACTAGTTACTTCTATCAAAAGTAACTCAGTTACTTCAAGTTACTCGTTACTTTCAAAGTAACTAGTTACTAGGCAAAGTAACTTTGACCGCCGCCATGATTCTAGCCTACGTCACAGCGTCATGTGCGCTTTTTACATCCAACACAAAAACTGCAGTCGTGGTGCTTTCGATTGTACTCAAGAAATTCTGCCTTCTGAATAGGAAGATGTAGGTAACACCAGACTGCAGATGAGCTGCATACAGGGCTGGACTGGGACAAAAAATCGTCCCGGGCATTTTGACTAGAGACCGGCCCACCATTATAGGAAAAATCATAAAGCCTTTGAATGAAAATAAACACTGTTGTGACAGTGATGTCACTGTTCTGATGGTATATATGCATCAATCTATCAATCGTTTGTTGTAAGATTCAGATAATTATTTTTTAAAAGCTAGACATTTTAAATGAGAATAAGAAAGAAAAGTATTTCTTTGTGCCCCCCTCTCCCTGTTAATGCCCTACCTGCCCCCCTGGCAACACTTTGCTAGACCCGCCCCTGCACAGTTACCAGCTGTCAGCTACATAGAAAAGGATCCTGGTGTTATTTGTCTCTCAGAAACAGTTCATAACTTCAACTCATTCATGTCACCTAAAAGGTAAACCTGTTTCTCCATCACAGCTCTGATGATCCAGTAAGGACATCTCCTGGTTTCATCTTCATGTTTCCCTCTCACCAGATAACCAAACCATATCATGACCAGCAGCTTTACAGCTGTGGCTCCAGCAAACATCAGCTGATACTAGAAATTAATATTAAATAAATTCTAACAACAGCTGATCAAGCTTAAACGTGCTGCTGTTGTTTAGCGCGACATCCGCTGGGCGATAAACAAACAAGAGAGAAAAGCCGATCAGCTGATCATTGATCAGTTTCATGATTGAAGTAGAAACGGAGAGGGAGGGGAGAGAGAATGAGAGAAGAAGAGGCAGCTGTGCAGCGTAAACACAGAATAACTCCAGCTTTGTGTCTTTTTCATTGTAGCTGAAGTCCGGGACAAACTGTTCCTTTTCACCTCAACACGAAACGAAAATATTTTCTCTGAATACGGAACGATTCCGTTTTTTATGGGATGGTTGGCAACTCTAATAAGGGTTTATCTGACCCAGATAGACTGCAGGTCATAACTTCTTACCTGAAGTTCAGTTCACCTGACACTCGGACCGGCGGCCGCCTCGGGTCTCTCCTCCTCCTGCCTCCCCTTTCCCTCATCCACCTGCTGGCCTCCACCACTTGCTAATGTTACTGAATCTGTGGAAGCTCCGCGATAGCCACCACACGAAGTAACGAATAACGAGCCTATCTAAATCCCAGTAACGAGTAACGCGTTCCTGATTTTGGCATAATAACTAGTTACCGTGCTCGTTACCACAATAATAACGTAGTTACTGTAACGCGTTACTTAATGACGCGTTAGTCACAACACTGGCCAAGCATAACTTTACAAGTGTCTATATACAAAAAGTTGAGAGGGAAAGACCTGAAATTATGAGTCTGTGAGGTGTGACAACATTAACAACAAAATGAGTTACTATTACAGTACTGTGAGAACAGGTATACTGACCGATGCTACCAGGCGAAAAGAAGCTGGTCACATCTGAGAGTGATGAGGAAAAATCTTCATAATATTCAAGGATAAAAGATCTGATGTCTCAACAGGACCTGGAAAAACTAGTCCATGCATTCATCTTTAGTAGGCTTGATTACTGTAACAGCATCTTTACAGGTCTACCTAAAAAATCAGTCAGACAACTACAGCTCATTCAGAACTCTGCTGCTCGAGTCCTCACTAAGACCAAAAAAGTGGACCACATCAGTCCAGCTCTGAGGTCTTTACACTGGCTGCCTGTCCGTCAGAGGATAGACTTTAAAGTTCTGATGCTGGCCTATAAAGCTCTGAATGGTTTAGGACCAAAATACATCAGTGACCTCCTGACCCAGTATGAACCTTCCAGATCCCTCAGGTCATCTGGATCCGGTCTTTTATCAGTTCCCAGAGTCAGAACCAGACACGGAGAAGCTGCATTCAGCTTTTATGCTCCTTATATCTGGAACAAACTCCCAGAAAGCCTCAGATCAGCTGAAACACTCAGTTTATTTAAATCCAGGTTGAAGACTCACCTGTTCTCAGCTGCATTTGAATAAAGCACCAAATCCACACTTTTAAGCTTAAATTTCAAAACTTACATTTTACTACTGATTTTATCTACTGTTTTAAAAATTTTTAAATCATGCTTTTTATTTGTTTTTTAATGTCTCTGTAAAGCACTTTGAATCACCTTGTTGTTGAATTGTGCTATATAAATAAACTTGCCTTGCCTTACATTTCAAGTCTTCACGTCCCCTTAAATCCCAAACAGCACTCGCCCGCCCCTCCTTCACCACCCTCTTCTTACCTGCAACCAGCTGATAGTCTGAGCCCTCCCCAGGCTTTTGACCGGTCGGTGATGCTATGTCATAGATGGGTGTCACTGAGGGTGGCAGGCTCTGCTGTTTAGCTCGGGGTTTGACGGTGCTGTAGATGGGAGCAGCTGACACACTCTTGGGGTCGTTGTCATAGTGATGGGAGGTGGGCATTGTCCTGAAAGGACAAAACAGCCATGATCAGTGAGTGGAGGTCTTGTGGCTCTATAGTGTAACAAGTGAAAGATCCTGGGACAAATCCCTTTGCGGTTGTGTCAGGAAGGGCGTCCAGCAAGCATGCCACGCCTTTAGGGTGGAGGTGTAAAGAGGCAAGAGGGAGTGAAGGGGTCAATCAGCCAAAGCAACAAAGACAGGTCTTGAATAGACTGCAGGCAGAATGGCGAGGATAAGACAAAGTTAGAGAGGCAAGGCTGCGATTGGTTGGACATGTCCAGAGGAAGGAGAGCGGATACACTGGACAAAGGAGCTGAAGATTGAGCAGCCACGACCACGGAGAAGGATCATGTAGTGAAGGAGGACCAGCACAGGGATAGTGTGACAGAAGATCCGTCCACACAGGATGCAAGCGATATGCTGAGACGACAGCAGACGAACTGCTGTGGTGAAGTAGAAGACGGCGAGGATTTAGGGTGTGGAATGAGACTTTTCATAAACAATAACCATTTATTCTTTTTACATGTTTGTGCATCACAAAATCCTAAAATTTCTGCATAAAGCACACTTTAGTTTCTTTACCTGCTTCCAGGATTGGATCTGGACAGGGGTACAGCTGAGTAGGTGGGAGCCGATGGGGGTGGATGGGCGTGTTTGGGCTTGCTGACCACAGCGTACGTATCATTCATGACAACCTGCTGTGATAATCTGCATGCAGACAGAGAGAAGGACAAGTACATTTGAGCTGCTGTATGAGGCCACATTTTCAATCGTGTGCAGCACAGTGATGATCAGGACCAAGCGGTGGTAAAAATTACAGTAAAACGTCCAAGTTTACAGCAGCAACAACTCCACAGCCTGTGACTAAAAACAGTTTTGGTTTCTGCAGCTAGTTTCCCCCTTTGCAACACTTCTTTTTAGGGGAATGACACGTAACCGACGAACGCTAACACAGGAAGCTGTAGCTGCTGCTCACCCCAGCCAAGTCTCTAAACTGGACCATGTTTGTGCTGTTGATGCCTTTTGGACTGATTTTAACAACGCACCAAACAACATGTCAGATAATTCCACAGCTTGTCCACAAAGTTTATTATCCAGTTTTGGGGTAGTAAATCCCAGCATTTCAATATGTTAATTAGTAAGTGCGTGTTTATTTGTGTACATTGCACCTGTACGGCGCACCAGAATTAGCTCCTGAGAGCACCTGTCAAATGTGGCCACATTTAGTTTCAGAAGACCAGATATAGAATCCACAACACCCCCTGCATCACATCTTCCTATTTACGTCAGCTTGTTTCCAGTTTGGATTCTTTGTATCCAGTTTGGTTTACACGGAAACATCTTTATATTCTGACTTCACGGTGAACAAAGATGCACCACGTTGTTTATTAATAGTAGGTATGTTTCTAGTTTTGGACAGAGATAGGTGACCACTTCCTGACAGTAGCAAACACAAAAGCATGACGTTAGCTTCCTAAACTAACCTGAAAATGACTGTTTAAGGCGTGACATGCTTTCCCTCTTCTCCCACCAACAATATGACTGTTGATTAACAGAAGAAATAAAAATGTTGAAGTAGACACAATTTGAAAAGTGCCAGAGGCACACCAGAAGTGCGAAGAAACTGTTAGACTGGTGTGATCAGAGGAGAGGAAGTTTGAGTTTCACAGGCAAAACTAAAAAAGCAAAAAGAAACAAAAAGAACTCCCCTGCCCCCAACTCAAAAAAAAAAAAAAAGAATTAAATATCGCAATTAAAAGTAAGAACTCAACAGCAGCAGTGTGGTTTCATATGTGTTGAGCTGCAAAACTGAGCAGATGGGGAGTGCTGCCAATGTGCTACTCAACACCACATGCAACAGCATACCATCCCACTCGTCAACAGCTTTTCTTCATTTTTATTTTGAGAAATGTAAGTAATATACAGTACTGTGCAAAAGTCTTGTGTCAGTCTTTGTCCGGGCTTTCCGAAGGTTTTGTGGCTGCTGTCTCACCCAACGTCAATGCAAACTTATTACTGAGCATTTTCACATGAGAGGTTCATTTTTGGGGTTTGTTTTTTTAAAACGCCATTTAACACTGACCGATGAACCATTTGCTAAAAATGAACTCAAAGTAGCGTCAGTCAGATTTTGCTCCACCATAACATCCAACTACAAAATGACAAGAAAGTCGTCTAAGAGCTGGGATGAAGAAACAATGTGGTCAAACTCAGTACAGCAGCTAAATGCTAACACGTATGTTTGCATTTATGAAAGCTGATGAGTGCGTCTTGGATATGAACACAGTTTCTAATAATTAAATGAGTTCGAAGCAGTGGGTGTATCATTTGATCCTCTACTGTTAACTGAAAGGTTTAAGGATGGCGTGACCTTTTAACTCCTATTATTAAAACTTTAAAATAAGCTTCGACTCAAATGTGACAAACGAGTCATGTACACAGTTTCTTCCGGCTCTAAAACCTACAGACTAGAAGCTTTTTTGAAAACCCATCAGATTGTGGAAAAGGTTACGCATGGTTACATTTACTCAGGTTAGTCAGTTTCACTTCCTCATTTGCAGTTAGCCCAGATTAATCACTTGGACTCAGATTACTCAATGTTAGCACATTTGCATGGGGTCCCTGTGGTGCTGCTTTAATTAAAGCCCTAACACTCCCTCCAGACATCCGTCATCCTGTGCTCAAAGTTCACCTCAAAAGGGCCTTTTGGACTGTGGGAATGATCCATGTGACCTCAGACAAGCATCAGCTGTGACCCACTTTAAATCAAAGATAATTAAACACTTCCTTCTTGGTCGAGCTTTTGGAAAGTGCTGATATCCGAGTTGTCATTTTATGTAACTAGCAGAGCATCTCACTGGTGATGTCCACAGGTTCTAGACTTCAGCCACTCGCTGAACTTCACACAGTGGACAAAACATGAAGTGAGTTTTTACAGCACAGCACTGTGGAACTATAAAAATGTATCGTTGTAAACTACAGGCCCCATGATGCATTGCAGAATCGGGCGTTCACATTAAGACCGTCGATCTGATATCTTTATATTGTGGCTCATGCTGTCACTGTAGCACTGCTGCCGTCGGTTAAAATTTTCATCTCTGCAGGAAATCACAACTCTACTTCCTGCTGCAGCCTCGTGATCACGGTCGTCGTGGTTACAATGATTGCAAACACTGTGCACCAACTGTGGTCCCGGAAGGAAGTAAAGACTGTTTAATTGATTGAGCTTTGATCTGAGTTTCATCATTTGCTCCTACTCTAACCTCCTTCCTCAGCTGCTTCCTTACTTCCTCATGTTTCCTCTGCGCTTTCATCATTTTCTCCCTCTCACATTTCCCTTCAGTTCTCCTTTTTTTCCTTCCCCTCTTCTTTTTATGTCATTCCTTCAGCATCCCTGTCCTCCAATTCTCACCTCCTACATCTACTTCCTCACCCCGTTTCCTCCCCTTCTTTACCCGCTCACTCTGTCTCCACAGAAACATGATAGCATATGGGAATGGAGGGTGGGAAGGTGCTAATTTAACACCTCGGGGTGAAGCATGCTGTCTATATCGGTCTCTCTGCCTACACAGACGGGTGTCAAATTAAAGAAAGGGGCTGAACTCTCAACCCCCTAAAACGAGGACATTTTCCTGTGTGGTGAATTTTTATGCACCAATTTACAATCTTGTGCATGAATTTATGGTGAAAATGTCTTTGCAAAAAGAAAACACACAAAAAGACTCTTAGAAAGCCTAATTCTCCTCGACGTTCTCATTTATTATTGCCCCTCACACACATGCAGGCGTGATTTACTCTTCTGGTTTTTTGCCCGTTGTCTCATATGAAGCTGCGTGTGTGTCTTTTGTTTGGGAAAGAAACCTGCTTTAATGCGCGTGTGGCACCTGTCTCCCTCTGTGATATCTTAAATCTGTGTAATTGATTTTTGATCCCTGGATTCTAATAGCTCAGGTAAGTTTTAATTAAAACGTGCTGCACAGTCACAGATCTCTTATCGCTGCGCTTTAGATCGCAGCTTTGTCACCGAAGCTGACTGAAAACAAAGATGACAGGATTATCTAAAGACTTGGTTTAAAGCCTGACTGATATTAGGCCTCCTGATTTTCCTTCTGGCTTCTCCACGTTTGTGATCACAGCTCTGAATGTGTGCAATGCAGCTGGGATGACCACTTATCACAAACACACTGGGAGTTTCCGTGAGAGTCAAAAATACCGACTGATACCAGCCGAAAGAACATTGTGAATAATCTTGTAACTATTCTGCCTCCTTAATGCTTTTACTGCAGCAGGAGGAATGCATGCATTATAAACGTGTATGCGGGACTAAAATCTTTGCCCCTGAGTGAGGGGATCAGGTGACTCTGCTGCCGCGGGGGTCGTTTTGCTGACATGGTTTGGGTGCTCTTGTCTCCTCAGGGCAAAAGGTCACTACAAATCAATGAAAAGCTGTTTTAGTGAAACATTTCCAATCTGATGGATGTGCCCTTCTCTGCAATGACAACGTCTCCATTCATAAGACATGAGTGCTCACTGAAAACGATGTCAATCTAATGCCATAACTCGATCTCAGACCAATTTTACTCCTCTGGGAAATACAAAGCACATGAGGGCCCGTCACGCAGTTTATCGACAAGCTTTAATTTAGTCAATAGCACACGTGCCATAAATCATTTCCTTGTACATTTTGGTGCATATAAAACCCTCAGTTCTGCTTCCAGAACAACTGATTACATTTCTATTCAGCTCATAGAGCTGAATCTGACAGCTGCTGGTCCTATGGAGCACTCGCTAACACCAAATATATCCTGACGCTAAATCAAAATAATGGACCCCTACATTTGTTCTTGCAAATGTGCATGCAAGTGTCTCTCAGCCTGATTCGCAGGCCTGAACATGAAAGCTCCCTGATGGCATAGATCACTGGTAACAAACAGTCCAGCATTATACCATGAAGCTGGCTGCACATAAAACTTAAACCAGCCTTTGGCGCTTCGTCCCTTTGAGATTTGCCTTGAAGAAACATTCTGCTGTAGCTGCATGCCTCTTTTCAGCTCAGTGACTCTCCGGAGTGTCTGTTCTCTCCCTGTGACTCCGTCTCTCTGCTCGTGTGTGGATTCAAAAATCAAAACAAGAACGTAAATTATGCTCTTTGAAGACATGGCGGCTACACGGGCCTCCGTTTACACCCAGTAAAGTTTTCAGTCTCCCACCTCAGTGAAAACTTTTCAGACCACAGCTATGCTGGTTGGGCCAAAACAAAGAGAGCAGGTCAGCTACTATTCTGCCAAATATCCTTGTTCTAGAAACGAACCCCAAGTTTCTCTCTGATGCCTTCACTGGAGTATTAATGTGTGAATGTTAGAAGCACTTAAGCATAGAAAAAAGTGGTTGTAAGAATAGATGAACGGGGCATGTTGTATAAATAGCTTTGAGTGCTCAGAGTAGAAAAGCGCTATAAGAACCATCCATTCACCTACTTAACCTGACACATGTGCCTAAGATGGCACAGGCCACAGTCTGCTGTTCTGAGACCATCATGGCAAATACAACTGACGCTTTTCTGGTAGCACCTGATGGCTCTACAGCTTCCACTACAACTTTTCCACACGTTACCTGCAGGGCACGCAACAAAGCAAATGACTCAAATTCAGCATTAAATGGCCATTAATCTACTGGCTCCCCATTACGATGTGTGTGTGAGTGAAACTGGTGTGTGCCTGCGTTGTGTCTGACAATGAAAGGTTAAAAGAAAGACCTCCGAGTAAACAACTTGCCTGCTCCAACTCCTATAAAATAAACAGTTGGGTCGAGAGTTAGCTCACCTCACTACAACTTCCAAGCTAGCAAGACGTACTAACAGTGCCTACACACACACGCATCACATATTCACAGCATCTAGTAAAGACAGGTGTAATGACGACAATAACAAACTAAAACACACAATCAGAAACATCAGGGTGGATAAAGATATAATTAGTTTTTGGAAAATAAATGACTGGGGAGAGGCCAAAGGGGTACCCCAAACCTATAGGGCTGCACCAAAGAAGAAGAAAAGGATGAGGAGGGGCTCTAACTTAATAGTCTGGAGCATTCACAGCTAGTGAGTGTTTGTCACGCTCACTGGCTCCTCCATGTTCTATCCGAGCAGCACCCTCACTAAACCCAACGGAGCATTTCCTAAACATTGTAGAGACCAAAGAGGTCCACGTGAGGAGTTCGGAGGGTTGGCAGGGGCACGTGCAGGAAACCTTTTTTTTTTTTGGGACTTTTCCAATTACACTTTACTTTCAGCTTTACTCACTGGAAAGGTTTTGACACCATGAACTACGTGGTTAAAGTGCTTTGGGTTCACATTACTGACAGACACCTCTCACCAATGACAGCATTAGGCACGGATACCGAAAGACACATTTTGTAGAAATCAAACACACCAGCAGCTTTGGCAAAACCACATTACCAAAATTCCCAGCAATGAGACAGATTCTAACATCTTCTGGACTTCATGTGTAAAAGCAGATTGTGTGTTTTTTTTAATGTATGTATGGTGCCTCTCTGTAGATAACATGCACACACCTTTTGCTGGAAGATGCAGCTGTTGTGGTTTTCTTTGTCTGAAAATAGAAAAGAACAGTTCAGTTCATCTTGAAGAAGAAATGAAGGATTTCTGTACAGCAGATGGAAAAGGGCTTCTGGGCAGAGTGAGACAAAGATGACTGAGTAAACGTATGTAGCACACAGGCCTCCAACTGTGGAGCCAATCATCACTTTCATATTTATGGGGTGTGTCCCAACGTTACCCCTCACAGAGTAAATGCAGCAGCAGAAATTCAATTCAGTTTTTTCAGATCACCCATGTTGACAATATGCACATCAATACGTCTCATTTCTGAACTTAAGCGCTTTCCTTTTATTTATTTTGGACCTAAATCCACAGAAATGAGGTCACGGGAGATGAAGTTCACCTCTGAGTCCGACTTGAAAACGTGTCGGCTTCGCAGGCTGGGATTTGCATGTTGCAGCTTTAGCAGAGACTGCTGCAAGTGAGAGAAGATGCTCGTCAGCTTTGTTTGCGTCGAGCACTGTAAGTGGTTCATGTGTAGATCAGAATAATTCAAACCACAACACTGGAGAGGACAGATCTGTGGCTGCTGTTTCAGCGGCTGCTTTTAAAACTCTGATGTCTGTTATGCGTGTTTAGATCTAGAATAGCCATTGTGTGTCTGCAGACAGCAGCTCAAACTGGGGAAGCAACACTGATTTAAGAGGTTGTTTATGGGCTTGTTTTGTGCGTTTTTTTCCCCCCCATTTGCCGTCTTTGTAAGGAAACAGGACGTGCCGCTTCATGTGCTTTGATGCAATGGTTAAAAAGGTGCATGAAGTTGTCATTTATCTGATGATCATGATGTTATGTTGTCCAGTATAATTCAGCAAGTCCTTCATCAGATCCTTAATCCAGTCACAGGTACAACATAATGACGGCTTAACAAACCTCTGCCTGTGTTTATCGTGCTGTTCGGCTATTTTAATACACGGATCACAAACCTGCAGCTTCCCCCGTCTCAAGAGGTTTGATAAAACATAAATAGAAATAACACAACATGACTGAGCTATTGAGCTATATTACTAAAGCTAGCAACACGTTAGCCTTCAATCAGTTGGACTTGGAGGGTAACCACACACCTAAACAGCCCACTGCAGAGCACTCATATGTGATAAAATAGGATTTATTTGCATCTAATAGTGATGTTGTGAAGCTAATTTATATGTAACAGTCTAAAATACGTTTTGTTACTCTATCCGTGTGGTTTTAAATTTAAAACTCAATATAGGTTTTTCGATCGTAAACGTCCACAAACCCACTGATGGGCGAAGCTTCTTTGTCCTGAAAAAGACCTGATTGTTTAGAAGTCGATGGGAAACAGCCCGGCATGGCTCTGTGACCTGTGTGGCCTGTTTGTGCTGTTGGCTGTGAAGTTAAAATGATGCCGTGTTTATTAAATCTGCTGAGCGTGTGTGAATGATAGATATGTGAAGGTTCTGAGCTAAGCTGTACCCGTGTGCAGAGTTTGGCTGCCTGCCTCCTGATTGTGCAGGAGGAGGAAGCAGACACGCAGATACCAGTGTGTGAATGTGAGAGTGAATGAATAGTGGCATTGTAAAGCGCTTTTGTTGCCTTGAAAAGCGCAATATAAATCCAATCCATTATTATTATTATTATTTTGTGTTTTATAGTAAGAACAGAGAATGACATCTCCATCACAAGCCATTAATGAGCCTGCAGCGTCTTTGGTTTCTCAGTCAGAGCTGAGAAGGCAACAGTGAAAACACAACCTTCACAACTGAGTGCTCTAACCCCTGCATCTGTCCATCATTTATCTACAGTCTTTGTGCAGAAAGTAAAAAAAAATATTTTAACCTAAAATTCAGAAAATGGTTCAGAAACGCTCATTCTGGTCGGTTTACTTTTAAGTCAAATTTACATGACTCAGAGTTTTTAAGAGGTTATATAAACTGAACTAAAAACAACAAACGTGTTAGTCATTTAAATATACCACATAAAGAAACCGTCTCTTAAATTTATTTACTTACACTAACACAATACACAGTTTTAATGTGGCAAATTTTCTGTAAGAAAAAGTAACATGAGGCAAAAGCTGGTTGTACGTTTGGTTTGCATACGTTACATGTTATAACTGCACTGAATTTCTTTACACGCTCACGCAGCACTAATACTGGGTCCTGTCCCCGGACAGGCTTCCAGAAAGCGAGCTTTTGGAAGAGAAGCCAGTTCAATTTCTTTAATGCAAATACTGTGTACATATATTACTTATCACAGTAAAGACACAGATAAGTGTACAGCTGTCACAGTATTTATGAGAGCTGCTGTTCGTGTCGGCGCTCTGGATCGAAGGTTAATGAATCTGTAACGTCACGAAACGGCGCACATTTGTAGCTGAAGGTGGTGAAATAAAAGGATAAAGATCATGAATGCTATTTTGTGGTAAGGTCGACAAAAGTTTGATGCCCAGAAGAGCTTCGAGAATGAAGCTGTAGTACCAGATAAAGAAAAATATTTACGTTAATAATGCCAATATGATCCACTGGAAATCACCCCATCAGCCTTAAATGTAGAAATAAATAAATAAATAAATAAATAAATAAAGGCATTTGAGAAAATTTGGAACTACATTGACATTTAATAAAATTAAATGTCAATTATTAATAATTGTATTTATGTTACTATAAACAGAACCATCTGTGTGCTACTTCCTATCAGAGTTTCTCTCTATTGTGTGACCCACTGCTGGATTTTTGTTCCATTTGTACTCATTTTTATTATGTCAGCTTAAACACAAATACATTATTTGTGCAAGAATGGTTTTTAAAGTACAATTCTAACTTAAAAGGCAGCTCTCAGTTTAAAGTCAAGTCCAAGATAAAATAAAAGAAGGAACGTGCCAGTGTTTCTAAATATCACCAATTCCCTTTTTTGTTCAGCAATAGAAAAGCGAGCCATGGCTCTCAGCTCGCGAGGTGAAAGCAGAGATACCACTGAAGCAGTGACATAAACAACAAGGTTAAACTCAGATCACCTCAGAAAACTCTACAAAACTGATGTAGCACAGAAGAAAAGCACAACAAAAATAAGCCATGTTTGTTGGAGTGGACCTACCTTCCGCCTCTGTGCTCCGAGCACTCTGCTGTCAAACTGCGTGCAGCAGAGGATTTGCAAAGAGGAACTCGGAGTTAAAGAACATTTCCTCTTTCTGCAGCTGCTGTCAGTCTACTTCCTCTGACTCCAGCATACTCATTTTGTTGTTACTGTAACACAAATAGATATTCGTGTTTTACCTGTAGGCTGCTGTAGACCTGCTCCTTAGATGTCTGCAGGAATTGTTCAAACATAGAGATGGCAGCTGTGTAGATGAACTGGAACTGATCCTGCGAAGAACAAAGGAAGAAAAGTTTCCTCTCAGCGTGGAAGACTGATGGAAGCTGACCGCGCTGGGGTCGGAAAACAAGACGAGTCATAAATGCAGAAATAAAGCCACTAACAAAAAAAAAAGAAAAAGAAAGAAAGAAAGAAAGCCACTGTTATTCTGTCGCTGTGCAACACAATACATTTTAATCTAAAAGTCACAAAGTAGGGAATGAAATGTTTCCATTACAGAAATCTAAAGTACGAGGAAAAGAGACAAACTTTCTCCATAAATATACACCAACCAGACGTAACATTCTGACCACTGACAGGTGAAGGGAATAACACTGATTATCTCTTCATCATGGCACCTGTTACTGGGCGGACTCAACCTAACATTTTGTCCTCAAAGTTGACATGTTAGGAGGAGGAAAGATGGGCCAGTGTAAGACTGTGTGATGGTTAGACGACCGGGTCAGAACATCTCCAAAAATGCAGCTCTCGTGGGGTGTTCCCGGGCTGCAGTGGTCAATCCAAAGTGGTCCAAGGAAGGAACAGTGTTGAACCGGTGACAGGGTCGTGGACGGCCAAGGCTCACTGATGCACGTGGGTAACGAAGGCTGGCCCGTGTGGTTTGATCTGACAGATGAGCTACTGTAGCTCAGACTGCTAAAGAAGCTAATGCTGGTTCTGTATAGCGAGAGACCCGTCAGGGTGCCCGCGATGACCCGTGCTCAAGAGTGGGAACATGAACATCAGAAGTAGACCATGGAGCAATGGAAGAAGGCGGCCCAGTCTGATGAACATGCTTTCACATCATGGTGGATTGCTAGCTGCCTACATCGCTTATCTGGGAGGCAGCCAGCTGGTGGAAGCAGTGTGTTGGTTTGGACAGTGTTCTGCTGGGAAACCTTGGGTCCTGCCATCCACGTGGATGTTACTTTGACATGTACCAACTACCCAAGCATTGTTGCAGAAACCGTGCTCGCCGATGGCTGTGGCCTCTTTCAGCAGGACAGTGTGCCCTGTCGCAGTGCTGCCCCTCAGCCTGTCAGCAGATACAATTATGGTATCAATTTCAAAAACCATTGCTTTGTTCTCAAGTTGTTGCATTCACCAGGTTTTCAGAGAACCTGAAGCCGACCTTGAGGTTCACAAACTAAGATGACCATGCTGCATGCCGCTGACAATACCTCATCAGCCTTTTACGGGTGAAGGGTAAAAATGGTTGAGGAATGGTTTGAGGAGCACAGCTACAAGATTGTGATGGTGACTTGTCTCCAAATTCCACAGACCAAATCCAATCAAGCATCTGTATGATGTGCTGGACAAAGATCCACATCCCAGCGTACAGGACTTAAAGGCTGTGTTGCTAACATTTTTGTGTGGACACCACAGCAAACCTTCAGGAGTCTATGCTTCAGTGGGGCATTATGGCATGATGCTATGCCTGATCAATGTACATCCATCCATGCATTCCTATCCCAGCTACCATTGGGCGGAAGGCGAGGTAAAGCCTGGACAGGTCGCCACACAGGGCTAACACAAGAACACCAGAAACAGTCACACCTATCCACAATTTAGAATCCCCAATTAACCCAACCCCACTAAGCACCTGTCTTTGGACTGTGGGGGGAAGCTGGAGCACCCGGAGAGAACGAATTCATGAACTGAAAAAGAATAAAAATTTTAAACTTTAACTTTTTAAGCTAAAGAGTTACAAAGAGAAAGATGTTGTGTGTCATGGCTGCTGTTGCGTTATGAGATAAAGTGATTTCACAACATTTTAACCGAATACCATTATAATGTGAAATTGACTCCCTTGCTGTTAAAAAGCAGCTGATGTTCTTTAAGTGCTGTTCCTGGGGATTAAATAACTCCTAAACTCTCACACTTGCTCGATGAAGCACTTACTTTAGTTTGCACTGTTGAGGGTCTCTGCCTCCTGAGCTCCAGGACGATGTTCAGGATGCTGAACTCTGGTGTGATCTTCTGCAGAGCGAGCAAACAAACACTGAAGAGCCGCCCCAAAACACAGAGTCTGAATGAGCCGCACACAGAGAGGCTGCAACATTCACACGTTACATCTGACATGCCTGATCTCCTGGAAAACAGACTACGTGCTTTTATCCGGCCTCATCTTCTGGTTTCATTAAAAGGTTTACTCGCCACATTAGGAAGCTTTTAAACACACTGATATTAGCTCAACTCAGGCTTCTCAATCTGAGACGTTTGTATCTTCTGATCAAACTCCATTTATTACTCTTAGGTCACTAAAAGAAAACCATTTAAAATCTTTAAAAAGGGTGAAATGTGTATTTAAAAAAGTGAAAACATGAAAAGAGAACAAAGATTCAGGACACGTCAGATTCAGACATTCAGCAGCCACACGGCAGACCAGCACTGAGGCCATGTGATGTGTTATCATGTGTTACCTTGGTAACCAGCAGGTCATGGATGTAGTCTAGTGCACAGATGACTCCTGTCCTCCCACAACACACACACACACACACACACACACACACACACACACACACACACACACACACACACACACACACACACACACACACACAGAGAGCAACAGATGCAGCATGCATGTTAACTGTGCCATCGTTAGCAGGTGTTACCTGCTGCATATTCACAGCCTCCTGCTTTCGATGTGTGGGCATGTGTTTGCACGTGTGTGTGTGAGTGCGTGCCTGTTTGTGCACGTGTGTGTGTGTGAGATAAGCTGCCATATGTGTGATCTATCCTGCTGAATGTTAATGACCATCTGACCTGCGATCTGCACCAATTTCACAAACAAGCTGCAGTAATGATGAGGCATTACCAGCCGTGTGTGTGTGTGTGTGTGTGTGTGTGTGTGTGTGTGTGTGTGTGTGTGTGAGACGTTGGCTCCACGGCTGCTCCTGGCTCTCTCCAGCATGTCCAGGACTCCAGCAGTCTCGTAGGGAACGTCATGATCCGGCCATGAAAGGAACTGATACTGAATCACTGACCGGCTGGCCTGGAGGAGGAGGAGGAGGAGAAAACAAATAATTTTAAAACTGAAAAGGTCAAGTCATTGATATTAGCGTTCATAATGATGCTTTAAGTTATTCAAAAGGTCCGTTTCCAAAGAAACTTCGGAATTAAAAACAAAATGCAACGAAAATGAAATCATTCTCCGTTTAACTGAAAATGGTACAAACTGAAAAAAAATTAAAAAACTGAAATTGAGATCATTGTTGGATGTGATGCCAGCAGTTCTTTCAAAAAAGGTTTTGATGGCCCAGAAAATCCTGGAAAATGTTTGTAAAACTAAATTTGAAAAAAAAAAAAAGGAGAAGAAAGTTTTGAGTGCATTAACCCATAAACTTGAAACACTGCTGCCTCCTAATTAAGACTAAAGCAGAAACATCTCGTCAAAAGGAAAACGTCTCCTAGAAATCGCTGCCACTGTGTCCTCTGGAGGCTGTGCGTCTAAACTGGTTTATTCCAACAGGATGGCTCTGTATTGAAAAATTTGGGAGCTGAAGTGGCCTTTCCAGATATCCCGCCCATTGAAAGCACAGATTATGAAACAGAAAGGAGACCAAACAGCTGCTGAGCAGTTGAAGGAAAAAGTTTGGATTTTAAAGAACAGTTTCCAAACACACAAAAGAAGGCGTGATGAAAAACATTGTCTTTGAACTATAGCCAATGAAAGCATTCTGCTTTGTAAGGTCCAAACTTCTTGTTAACCCGTCCCAGCGTAGCTTTTTGAAACCACTCACTCATGTGAAAACTTCCTACCTGCTGGAATGTGACGGTCAGATTTCTCACCACTATATCTTCATTGGGATGTGTCTCCTCCTGCTGGAGACACACAGGAACAACACGTCAGAATCACTCCAGATTATTCTGGATTTGTATTAAATAAAAGGACTAAATACAGTCTGAACAGTTGACATCGTTAATGAGGAGGTGAACTGTGCTGTATGTTCTGTGTTAATCAGATTTATTAGCAGCCTGTTTGTTCTTACGTTGCTGACAGTAAACGGTCCAAATGAAGCCGACTGCTGAGCTGCAGCCCAGTAACACTCACACTTTCTCTGCAAAGGAAAATACAGACTTGTTAGTTACGAACACGAACCTTTAATTCTGTTTTTATTATTTCTGGTTGCACGCAGCTGTTCCACATGTACAATCAGTGATGAAATACATGCATATGAAGTGTGAGATTCCCTTTCATTATTCAGGTAAGACTATGCCATACTTCACTCACTAATGCAATGATATTTGGGTAGTTATAGATTTGCATATTTGCTCTATTTGAGTAAACTTGAAAAACCTTTGAGGTTCGAGAGGTTAAAGAAAATAAAGTAAAAGAGAAGAGTTTTTAAAATCTGAAGTCAAAGGTCTGAGCCAACAAAGAGATCAAAGGGCAAAAAGGAGTTTACCTTTCCCATCTCTATCTCTCTGCAGGCCATGACTATCACCTGAAACACAAAGTCAGAGGTTAGTCAGAGCCTCCTGAGGAGAAGCTGCTGATCTGATGAAGAAAACGTCCCTGTGCCTCAGCGATGCACCGACTTCAGCTTAACAGTGCGTCTGAGTCTGACATGAACAACCTCAGAAGCTGAAAAGAGCACAGCTGTGTGTGTGTGTGTGTGTGTGTGTGTGTGTGTGTGTGTGTGTGTGTGTGTGTGTGTGTGTGTGTGTGTGTGTGTGTGTACACGCTTTGTTCCCCTGCTACACATTTTGGGACACATTTCTAAAATCTGGCTTTTATTCAGCGCCTGTGAAAAACAGGGAAGGCTGTAATCGTGGGCTGAGTTCAGGTGGCAAATTTCAGGACACTGCAAATCTCAAGTTCTCCAGATTTCAGCAAATATGATGAACAGGACAACAAAGAAAAAGAAATGCAGCTACTATAATTATTTACTTAGAAATGTAGAGGCATGCAAATAAAAAGGTGTAAATTTATGCTTTGTGTGCTAAACCTGGAAATCCAGGCTATTTTCAGGGTGTGAACAACAAAGACAGCTTCTGATTTCCTATTTTCAAGTCTAGACTTCTACACACAGCTCACATGGTCCAGACAATCCTTAGTTTAAACTAGCAGACCCTACTTTCAGTCACTGTATTTGTTATCATCAGAAATACATTTCTTTGGGCCTTTCTGGATCCATATTTTGGATGCTTGCAGTCAAATATTCAGCCACCATCAGCAGCCATCAGAAGAACATTAAATAAGACGGAGAGAGTTTAACTGGTTACTAGTCGTGCATTCATGTGTAGGCAGCATTTTATTGCACCGTCTGGTTGGATTAGAAGCAGCCAATCACATCGCGACACATTTGGGATGCTGGATCTGAAAGAACTGGCAGACTGTTACAGCGCTGCTTACTAATGTGAAGTTTAGCGTGAGCCAAAACATCATGCTTCATCTGTTTGGAATCCAAAAATCTGAGCACATAAAACACTTAAAAATTTTCCCTTTAAATGCAACAGAGTGGAAGCCCTAAAAAATAAGATAAAATAAAAATCTAGTGTTTCTGCCAGAGTGGCTTTGGTGATTTACATTTCAGTACAAGCCTTGTTTGTCTCATCATGCATCTTGGAGCAGCTTCCTTTTAAGCCAGCTTTTGCTCTGATTGGCTGCCCCCCGTAAGCAGCAGGGCTCAACAGTATAAGACCTGCTCTTTGTGACGTCATACCAAAACCTGAAGCCGAAGTTTTAGGAAGAATAGCAAGAAAAAGAAGAGTCCGCTTTAATGATTAAACAAAAGTTTATAAACACCATTTGTAGCTCAGACTAATTCGTGGATATTAACTGAATGCTAATGGTTTGCGTTGTGCGTCTGACCTTGACGTTGTACTGCCAGATCATCCTCCAGAAATCAGTCACAGTGGAGCTGAGGGGCCCCTGACAGCCAATGTATTTGCAGTCTCCTGTCGCCCCCTGCAGGACAAACGGCAGCATTACAACCCCATCAGAAACAGCCAAGCACGAATCGTTAAACACAGCAAACTGAACGCAGTGTGACATAAATCTGGTTGTTTGACAGGTGTGGAGTTAAAATGATCTAAAGAGCATGCCTAATAGAATACAGAAACATGTAAGGGGCCTCAAACCGTGCTGCACGTGTGAACCAGGTGATGTTTTCACATTTAGAGGAACAGCTTTGAATGATTTGTGTGAAGGCAGACAGCGTTTACCTTGATGAAGCTGGCGTTGATGTAATCAGAGTTGGAGTCCGTGGTCGGCAGAGAGAGCTCCACCCGAGACTGGTCATCTACAGACAGACAGACAGACACACACTTACTTAAAGGACAGGTATTTGAGACCATTAAAGCAGGTTTCACTATAACTGTTCTTCATAAATATTCGATCAGTCTCTGCTGAGCCCAAACTGATTTCGTAAAGCACTTTGTTAGGATCCGTGTTCACTACAAGCAGTCGAGCTACAGAACAGCCACAGGGACCAACAACAACCAGAAAAATAAACGCATGGCAATTGAAAGATTTTATGAACGTTTCCAGAGATGCAAAACAAAGCTTTGTGTCTCTTGATAAAATGTTTTCCTCCTTCGCTGTTCAGCTTGTTTGCAACTTGAAAATAAGCTAATCCTTACAGGAGAGGGAAACAAAGGAAAGAGGATGGAGGTATGAATGAGAGAAAGGCTGAGAAGAGTGAGGACATACATGGCAGGATGTCTTTATATCTGTTCTTCTTGATGTTTTCCTTCAGAGCTCCAGCCTCAGAGGTCAAGCCCAGCTCTTTCTTATACCCCAAAGACCGTGAACGCACCATCTGTCACAAGACACAACAACACACAGGTTAGTGTGTGTGCAGGTCTAATGCACACCAAGCCCAAGTCACAAAGAAATGAACTTTTTCAATTCATTCATGTTTATTTCAGAGTATGTAGTTAGAGGTCTATTCGCACGTGCATGTTGTAATTGTGTAAATGTGATGTGAGAATTTACTCCTTATGTATGAATGCAGTGCAGCACATTCATGTATGAGAGACAGGTGTCAGCAGTGAGTCAGGACTGTGTTCACATCATGAACTGAACATTTTGTAAACTTATTACACGGTGCTGTTAAAAAAAATAACATAAAATAAATTACATGCGCACACACACACACACACACACACACACACACACACACACACACACACACACACACACACACACACACACACTTTTATTATAGCATTTGAAAAAAATGTTGAAAACTATTCTCGGTGTTTGAAATGGTTACAAAAAAAGGTTTGTAAATTGACCTGGAGTCCAGTCTAATAGTCCACAAAGTTCCCTCCTCTTATTCCCATAATTTTCCTTTGACCTGGAAAATATCACGAGGTGAAAGAAAGGAGTGAAGCAGACTTAAAGTGTTAAATTGCTCAGTATCAGTTTTCTGTTGCATGTTTGATGAGACCAAAGACTCATACATCAGGGCACTTTTTTGTTGATTACAGCTCCGCCTTCAGTACTGTCATCCCACACAAACTCACACCCAAGCTGGCAACACTCGGCCTGCACCCCACCCTCTGTGACTGGCTACAGGACTTTTTGACTGGCAGGCCTCAGTCCGTCAGGATCAGCAACAGGACCTCAGCCAGCATTATCACTAACACTGGCGTTCCACAGGGTTGCGTCCTCAGTCCCATCTACACCCTGTACACCCACGACTGTGTCGCCTCCAACAGTGATAACAGCATACTGAAGTTTGCGGACGAAGGTTCAGGAGTGTGAAACCCAGAACATCTCGACTCAACAACTCCTCCTTCCCCACTGCTATCAGACTCTTGAACAGCTGACCTATTTTAACAGTAATAATATTTTTTGCACATCAGGTAATCTCACATATCAAACCAGCATATTAAGCTCATTGATCGTTTGCACATAAATCTATTTAATACTTCAATTTTTTTGTCTCCATTGATTTATTTATGCTATTTGTATTGTATTTTTTATTGTACATATTAACTGGCATCTGTGTGTGGACAGCAGAGAAAGAATTTCATTATACAGAGAACTACTTTTTCTTTGCACACATGACAATAAACGCTTTGAATCTTAAATGTTTGGAAAAGCAGCCTCAGATTGAATCATTGGAATTTTATTTACCATTTAAATAAAGTCCTTCTTGGGGATACTTGGGGTACATGTCAGTTTCACAGTCAAACTAAATTGTAAACATGTTTTAATTAGTTTCATTAGTATAACCTACACCGGTGGGACAAACAAGCATTCATTTAAATCCATTTAAATTCTGAAGCAGACATGGACCAATCTGACTGCAGGCGTTTTACCTCAAGTGACCACATCTTTAACTGTCCTGTGAGAAATCAAGCCTCACTGCCTCAATGGAAAATAAGAGGCTCAGTAGCAGCAAGGTTCAGCATGCCAGCACCTCTGCAAAAGCAGACGCTTTGGCAGTTTGCTGGTCCGGAGCGTTCAGCTGTGTTAATGACACGATGACGCTAATCAGAAAAAGACTGAACAAAGGAGGGTTGCTAGCACGATGCCTCTTATCTCTAAAAAGAACATGGCAGTAAAGTTTAAGCTTGATTTAGACTTCTGCAGGAAATCTAGTTCCAAACTTACAGTTCAACCAGAAACCTCTCAACCCTAGACCGCAACTTCCCCCTCCGTCTTTGCGGGCTGCATCCACCTGACGCACAATCAGATTATGTGAAAGCGTTCCTACGGGAAAATAACAGTAATCTAATTACCGTTTTTGCAATAGTAATCCCTTTACTCGTTACTTGAAAAAAGTAATCAGATGCCCATCTCTGGCCACAGGATTCTCGGCACCCTGCAGTCATCGACCTTGAGCTCCTCTCTATGTTTCGGATAATTTCATTGATAAAAGTGAGGACGTTTGTCTAATTGCTAAAACTTTGGGTTACTTAGCTGTGCTCGGACAATGATCCTGAGGTCAGCTGCAAACCTCTACGTCCAGACCTCGACATGATTGAAAGGCTGTGGTGGGACCTTCAGACATAAACAGGTCTCAGGTTCCCCACAGCGATATGAAAGACTAACGATAACTTATGTATTGTGAAAATTATTTTTCACATGTCACTTTGCACAGTTTATATAACGTATTGCTTTATTGTAGGTGTTTCTGCATGTTTATCGTTTATGGCGTCCTATCTTTAAATAATAAGGACAGCAAACAGTGACGTCACAGTTGCTTCAGCCTTTTATATACAGGTCACGGACCCGGTGTCTGTGAGCAGTGTGGATTATTATTATTATTATTATTATTATTATTATTATTATTATTAGTAGTAGTAGTAGTAGTAACTGTCCCTGAGACAGTTAAAATAAAGTTGTTTATTTCATGTTGCTTAATTTGGTTCATTTATTTATAAGATACGATGATAAAAGTGTAACATTGATTATAAAACATGTCTAAAATATGTGATTACAAAATATGGGTTTGTTAAATATGTAAAGTGCTGTAATGTTTGTAATGGTCACATGACCAGGTTTGGTTGAGAGCACAACCATGGCACGGTGGAGCTTGCATGGATACATGGCTACAGCAACGGGTTGGCTACAGATGCATCTACAGCCTCAACGTTAATGTCATTCTGCATGTGGTCCAAGAGGCGCACACGGTATGCTTTCATGTATATTGTTTGTATAATGTTGCATACGTGTTCTAAACTGGTAATAAGAGGACATTTATGTTGTAAACATAAATGTAAACTTTGTGTTTCTTCAGTTTTCACGGTGTCTGAAGACAAGTGAGAGAGAGAAAAATTAATTTGATGCGTGGCCATTGTTTGTTGGACCCCTGTAGTTACATTATTATTATTATTTTTGTGATGTGTGCGTCTTCTGCACGATGCTGTCATGTCTGTGTTGCACTTATTGTATGCATGTATGCATGCATGCAGGGGCGGAGCGTGGGGGTGGCTTACTGGGCTTAAGCCCGGGTTGTTTTGTCAGAAGCCCGGGGTATTTTGGAGTGTAATTTTTTCATAGTTAGATGTCTGGCTGACAACAAAAGTACACACAATATTCGAAGCACATAGTGCACACTGTGGGAATTTACGACTGTGCGTGAATCCCCCCTGATATTGGTATGATCCGAGCTCAGGCACTAAGCGACTGAGCGAGGGGGCGGGGCAGCTGCTGCCTGTGAGTGCGCTGTTGGAGAAACGGAGCCAGCCATACTAAGGAGAGCTTAAGTTTGACCAGGTACCAAAGCAAATCATTCGTACTGTACAAATAATGTAAATATGACGGTGCATCACGAAAGATTGATATCAAACTGATCACTTGACCCATATTACGTTACTTGCTCTTCAAGTGAATCAACAAATGGCGAAATGAAAAGCCGAACAACAACAATGCTATTTTTTTTTTTTACATGTGTGTTTATTTCATATTTTCAGTTGTTACCCTCCACGGCTAAATCGGTTTCAGTAATGCACTGATATACAAGAATGGACATAAGGGGCTTCTTTCAAAGAAAAAACTCTGGTAGTATTTTATATATTATGCTTTGTATGTTGTTCAGTATATTTCTATGCAAAACAAGAGGAACTTCAATACACAGCAGTATATTCACAGTTGAAACCAGATATTTACACTTTATGGAAAACACAAGAACATTTTTTTACTGTACAACATCAATTTAGAGTAAACTTGTTTTGTTTTGGATAAATAAATATTGAAATATCTTTTGAATTAGTTAAATGTCAGAATAAAGAGAGACAGAGCTGTCTATTTTTTATCACTTTCATCAAATTTAGGAGTACATGTACACTAAGTTTATTGTTAATTAATAAGAAAACTGCAGACGATTCCATTCTGAGCTGAAGAAGCTTCTGATAGGTTAGTAGAGTCCATGTGAGTAAATTGGTGGCACAGCTGTGGATGCATATAAGGCAAAACACAGAGCCTGTTTCTGTGACATGGGAAAATCAAGAGATGTCAACCAAAACACCAGGAAAAGAACTGTGGAGCTCCATAAGTGTGGCTCAATTTTGAATACAATTTGGTGCCATTTACAATTAAGAAATACAGATAGTTTCTCTCTTTACTCTTAAAGTTAACAAATATGTTTTTTATATTTATCAATCTAAAAAAAATAAACATTTAGTCTGATTTGATGTTACAATTAAAAAAGTGTTTGTGTTTTGATCTGAAGAGTAAATATGTGGTTTCAACTGTATATTTGATGATTGTCAGCACAAGGAGGGAGAGAGAGGAGCAGAGATGAACAAGAGCAGGCGAGACACACGTGTTAGTCAAATGGTTGTTTACCAAAAGTATCACCGTATCACAGGTCCTCATGTATCTCGTACCTATGTTTCTTTTTAGGTTTACTATTTTTCAAATTCTACATTTATTAAGTTATGCAGGCTTGTTTACACAACAAGGCTAAATAATTATATAAACTTTTCTCAATCTAAATATTGTACTTTGGTTCTGTCTTGGTTAAGTCCTCAGTAGTCCTGATTTTGAACTGTTGTCCTGTTTTAATTCCGGATCAGTTCTGGGTCTGGTTGAATTGGGGTTTAGTCCTCGTGTCTTGATACAGCCCCGACTTTGCATATGTGATATATATTTTTCCCTATATGAAGTCATTCTTTTTTGAACAAAACTCAAAACAGAGCCAATTAATCTTTCAGTCATTTCAGCCATACCAAGGTCGAGGCTGGTTCATAGAGGCGATCGAGCATTTGCAGTCGTAGCACCTAAGCTGTGGAATAATTTGCCCCTATACGTCAGACAGGCTCCTACTGTCAGTCTCTTCAAATCTTATCTTAAAACATTTTTATTTACTGGCTTTTAATACAGAGTTATTTGTTATTTTATTAGGTATGTTGTATGCTTGTACAGCACTTTGGTCAACGCTCCTGTTGTAATTAAATGTGCTATATAAATAATTAAACCATAATAATCATGTAGTTATGTTGAACTGCAGTGAAACAGAAGTGCAAAGGCACCACAAACAGGTCCCTGTTCCCCTCGTTCCAAATCTCACTTGTTGCCTTATTAAACCTTGCATCGACATGTCCTGCACCAGTAAGCAAACACCACACACTTACTGTAATCTAAAGCTGAGACCAGTGTGAGGAACAGTGGTGTGTCCCTCAGCACTTTCACTGGATGAGTCATTTCAGGAACAACAACAAGGAAGCTGCTGTGGCGGGTTAATCATAAACCAACCTGAGGGACAGAATGAGGAAGCAGGATTATTGACTAACCAACTTCTGCTGCCACACAGGAACAAAAAACCAACTTGGCAGCTCACCTTAAAACAGACAGCCAGAAAAAACCTCAAGAAATGCAAAGCAGCCTCTGTGTGCACGGCTAAAACAAGGGTGTGTCTGTCAAATTAGAAAGTCCCTCAGGGTTCCATATGCTCCGACAGGTTTTTAGAGCAGGAAATTAAAATCTTGTAATGCGTGAAAAATAGCAGGCTACTCAGCATTTCAAATGAGCTCGAGGCTTTTTGTCACGTGAAGGTGGTTTTATTTTAGAAGCAGGTTGTTTTCAGTTTGATGCTGAAACCAAAAGAGGCTGCTGCCGTAGCCAAACTGAAACTCAGGACATTTCCTCTCCGTTTCGACCTCATTAGCTCCCTTCAAATAAACAACAAGTTCTCTCCTTTTTCCAGAGAAATCTTGGCGATGTTTTCAATCATAGTGTTTGGGAGTCGCTCCAAATCACAGGAAGTTTGGGGAAACCAGGTCTTATTAACATGATGTTTCCTGAACAGCTCAAGGAGACAGTCTTAATAAAAAGATATTGAAGTGATGATGTTTTAAAGCCACATGGTTATGCACATAGACTGTATATAAAAGATGGACAGTGTCACCATGGCAACCACAATGAGACTGTACCTTTCTTAGTGTTTTGAAACCAGATGTCACAAGTCTGGAAACATGTCTCAAATGAGCAGTTTGAACTCCTGTGAGTCAGCCTTCTTCTGGTTGGTTGCCCCTCTCAACAGAAGTTGTGAACTACAGGTGGGTGGAGCTTCTGTGTCTGAAGTGGAATTTATAGTCCAGCATATATTCATCTGCATACATGTTTCGGTTCCGAGAGGGGGTTTCACACACCAGAGTTGCACTCCTCTGCAGTCCTTCAAGATCTTGACTGCGTGTTGCTAGAAACAGATGATGTATGCGTCTGCCGAATGCTGATTGGTTAACACGTAGTCCAGAATAGGGCGTAGAGCAACAGAAGTTCACCGAGAACGTGCAAAAAGCACAGACAGTAGCTTCAGTGGACATTTTTCATTGTTTTTAAAAACACCCGTTTTCACTTCAGCTTCTTTGTTTGCAGCACAAGCAAGAGTGAGCGGTTGTACAGACTTTGTACAGCGCCTCCATCTGGCAGCGGAGCCCTCTGCAGACAGACAGGCCCGATCCCGAACTGGAGTAGACGTGTTGATGATGATGTTTGCACTGCTCTGTTACCAACACATTTGTCTAGTTGAATGTGTCGTCATGCTCGCTGGAGCACTCGGTGCATCCCACTTCTTTCTCTTCGGGGTAAAGATTGTTTCTGGTGTTCTGTGGATGAGTATTACACACTGTTCTATGAAAAGGTTTTTTTGTTTTAGGTGAAAGAAAAATCAGAAGAAATGAATCAACATTTCTTAGAATCAAAATATTTTTTCCGACATGTTAAGATTATAACGAGGCACGGAGGATGCTGCTTTGGAGACTCAGCTGCGTTACTGCTCTTATATTCACCCTTTGAGCCTTGCTCACATACTTGGAAAATGGCTTTGTAAGAATCACTCAGCCTTGCAATATGATCATTTAACGCGTCACTCAAACACAGCAGTCTTGGTTACTAGAGTGAAGCAGATTTAATCTTAAATGATTTTAATTGTCATTGAGAGCATGCTCACCTCATTTAATGCTATGTTACATGAAAAACACTTTTTTCTTCATAAAAAGATTGTAGTCTGTATAGACGTGTGTAAATTGTAGCTTCATGTTTTCTGCTGCTGTCATTTAATTACACGAAAGACAAAAATAGCATCATTAAATGTCATTATTCAAAATAAAACCACACAAATTTGAGACAAATAACAGCTTTACCTACAAAAGCTACAAAAACAGAAACCTAGGCCTGTGGGTTAAGCTAAATTTATGTCACAAAGTAAGTCTCAGCTCATGTTGGATATTTTAAGAATATTGACCTAAAATGAAACCAAGTTCTAAAATAGAAGGAAGACAAAATAAATTTGAACCAGTGTTTAGATTTAATTACTGGTACTTCATCGCTAATATAAAGCTACAAAGGCAGAAACAACGGAAAACACCTAAACTTAATTCAAGTTTTCATTTTCACATGTTTGGTTTGAATAAAATGTGATGGATTTTTAGTACATGAGTTAGCGTCATGGCCCCTGAAGAAAAAACAGCAGCTTGTGTGCGTATGTTTTGTGGTGAATGGTTTCAGTGTAATGTTGACACTAAACTCTGCTTTTAGTAACTCCGCAGGTTGTTTCTGCTCATTTCTAACCTCACCGTGAGTTTAAATTCATCTTCTCTCAGAAATATGTGAGCAGAGCAGCAGCGGCAAAGTGACAGGCCTGAACACAAATACGTTTTGTGCCCCAAAATAATTAATTTAGCAGCGCCATGCGAGTTCACATCACTATTCACTCGATCCAATTACATAGGATGTAATGCCCGATCAGGCCATGTGACTCAGCCACACACCGATTAAAAAGTAGCAGAAAAAGGCCCTAAAAGGTGTGAACTGTACTCTGATATAAAGAGACAGGAAAACAAGAGCAGGGTGACCATTTTAAATATTGGATTATGAAATATGCCGCACACAGATTAACCTAACATCAATAAAATTAAAGAAAATTAGCAGAAAGCTGCAGTTTCCTTGCAGCTCAGCAGCAACAGCTGCACAATGTCACCATGCTTCATCGTTTCGACTAAGAGTTGTAATGTGTACTTAAATGTATGAAGATAAATAACACACATTTAGAGGACATCAGCATCCTGAATACGGGAGGATTGTTTGGATGTTCCTCTGACCAGTGAGCCTGAGAACAGAGGACAGCATCAGTTTGATGTCAGGAACATCTCATCTTAATTAGCGAGTACCGCGCTGCGCTGCAGACAAAGCAAAGGTGGAAATCTCTCAGCATTGATATTTCAGACACTCGTCTGCTGTTCCACCACAGAGGGACGTTGGGTTTGACATGTTAAATAATGTAAAACAGTTTGAGCAGTTTAAGGTCAGCGCTCACGCGACATACATGACTTTCAGAATGACCACAGCATTAAAGCATTTATAGTCCGAGTTATTGTACGTCCTGCTGCTGTAAAATAAATTAGCCAGTCCTCTCAAATAAAATGCATTTCCTTCTTGTTTTATGTTATAAAATAAGGATGTAGTTTTAGTTTCACAGAAATATAAGATGATAGTTGGACAATGTCAACAGTTTGCTTTAGCAAAAACAGGCTTCCTTGTTTGATTCAACAGTAAAATGGAAAATTAGTTACCTGATATTTAAGTTTATAATTACACTGGATTTGTTTCTGGACATAAATTTTATGTGACTTTGAAGCTTCATTACACAACGTTTTTAAAGAGTCTCTTATCCAAGCAGCCACTTTGGAGAGACAACAGGATAAAGGACACTGTGCAGTGGGGTCGGGTTCATTCATGAACAGAGCACAAAGTGGACCCAGAAGATGCAGATGGAGGACAAGTTAAAATTTCTGAAAGCCACAAACGAGGGAATTTACTACAACCCCCCCCAAAAAACAACGCCTTGATCCCCGAGTCTGACAAAAAGCCAAAGACTCACCAGCACGTATATCGACACCTTGACATCCACCTTTGTTGTAGCGTTCGTGTTGCATACCATCACATTACTGTGACAATGAGCACGAACATTAGGTGGCACTTGATTGTAATGGAAAACTGGTCAGTCCAGCTCGCCCTGGCGAGTTGATCCAAGTAGGTAGTGATGGAAAAGAGGCTATACAAAGTTGATGGAACAAACAGGGAGAACAGACAATGATGGAGACACAACTCTGGGAGACCAGACAGACATGGGGACGTGACCGGGGAGAGAGAAAGGGTAACGACACAGAAACAGGAGTGACTTCCACAGGAGACGCTGATGATCGAATTTTTATGCAAACTGGCCACCTGCATATAAATCTAGTTCCTGCAGCTTTTTCAGGAGCACGAGTGGATATTCTGTCAGTGTCTACCTGGCACATGATGATTTGGACCATCTACAGCTTTGCTGGTAAATTACCATAAGTGTGTCTGTTTGTATGATCATGGTAAAACATCAACCTGGAAACGCCTACAGAAGTGAGTCTCGTCTCTTTGTCATGTTCCGATAGCTCACAGTTGCTGTGGCTTTTGTGATCCAGTGGAAATTATTTTTAGTATTTTCTTGGCCTGAGTTTGACCTCTGAGGCTGAACGTACACTTAATAACATACTAAAATTAAAAAGAGACGTTATTTTTGTTTTCACTCACTGTTCGGGTAAGGTACCAGTGTGACTCGGTTCAGATTAGAAAAAGGCCTTATTTTGGGTTCAGATAAGCATGTTCACAGTCTTAACCCTTTGCATTTTAAATGGCATGCCGAAGAGTATCGTGTAATTGAAAGTGTGACACAGAGGAGTTTGACGTATGATGGACCGAGTCATAACCTTTCTGACAATGAAGAGGACTATTGGACCTGTGTGAGGTTTGTAAAGAATTGGTCTGGACCGCAGGTGTTTATTCTAAAAATAAACTTTGAAGAGAAATGGACCGAGATTGGACCCCTGAGGAACACCCGTACAACCTGTCAAAATCTGGTTTGAGGTTGTTGAGACTTAACTGAAGTGAAATCAGGAATCTTTGTGTTGAATGAAGACAGGTAGGATTAACAGAGCAGGTTTTTGAATAGGTGGAGGAAAAGCTGGAGCTCTTAGAGAATTCAGGACCCTCTTAATGTCTTAATGTTAATGCTTAATACTAAAAACAGGGTACAGTGCTGATGGGGGTTCATGAAAATAAGAGTATCCCCAGTCTGAAAACAACCTAACATGGTGTGCATGTTAGACTCGACCTATTTAGCTTTGCATGTTTTACACACACCAGCCTCACGTGACTGAGTTTATCTGATTATTGGCTGCAGCTCATTTAATTAGATGGGTCAGAGTTGAAACTAGAGGCAGGTTTTTCCAGGAAAGCACATAAAAGAAGTCATTGACAGAGATGAAAAGCAGCGAAGTTAAAGGTCCACCACATACAGAAGTTTGTGCATTGCGTATAAATGTGGCGTATAGGAGAAAACCTAACCTCGAGCACGACCTCAGAGTTACTCAAGCTGTTCTCAATCGTTATCTGAACTTCACAGTGCGTTATTACTGCACTTTTATTTCTGTAAATACTTTTCTGACAAATAAGACGTTGGACTAGATTGTCGAGGATGTGAAAGCTCTCAAACCGGCTTTTCCATAAACTGAGGAATGAAAACAAACACTCACACTGTACTCCTGATCCACAGTCCTGGAATCGACTGTCTTCAGTCTGGACAGCAGCGAGGGCAGCAGCTCCATGTCGAGTCAAGTAACATCCAACACCTGAGCCGAGCTCGTGCGCCTCACTGACTCTACTCTCCTGGCTGAGGCTGATCAGCCAAAACTGAAATTGAAATAAGCCTCTCCCTCTCTCTCTCTCTCCCTACCTCTTAGTTGTCTCTTTCCCTCTCTGTGTCTCAGTTCTGCCTCTGTCTGTCAGTTAATAATTTAACACCAGCTAATTGAGCCTCTCTCTCTTGCTCTCTCTCTCTCCCTGTCTGAAGAACAAGGAAGTATGTGGACAGTTTGAAGGAAATACAAAAACTTTATGACTGGTTACTTCACTGAATTTTAAAGCGTGTGTTACAGAAATATATTTCCTTCCTGAAGCACACAGTTAGTGAGTAATCTGGTACAGGCTGCATACCCATGTATGCAATCAGGCAACCTGTTTCACCTGTGTGTTCACCAGACAGCGTGCAGAGATAGATAATCTTGATAGAGAAGTGTTGACAGACGTGGAATTTAAAACCACTGCCTTGTCTGAAGCTGAAAGATATAGACACGTGTTTAAAAACACTGAACTGTGATGGGCACGTGATTAATTCTGCTTTTTGCCGACCAGGCGTGGAAAGGTTACTAGATAGAGATCTAACTTATGTAGTTCAAAAGTTGAATAACCACTCTCACATAAATTGGAGGCAATCTTATCTAGCTCTTGTCTGTTCTACCTGAACACACCTCATTCACACACACTCATATAAGCATTTTTCTTTTCCTGTCCTTTAGTGCTTTCTATCTAACAAGGATATTTGGCATGCCAGGGCTCAAACCACCAACCTTATGGCCTGCGCTACCTCCTGAGCTACAGCCCCTAAAAACATTAGAGGTAAAAACCACCAAATACACTCAGACACCTTGCAAGAAACAGGTTTGACTCCCTTTTACCTTCTTCAGTGAGTGCTGGAAACACTCCTCATCAATTTTGGTCCATATTAACATAATTAAATATGAATACATTAAAAGCCACATACACAACTAATTCCCATTACTCTGGATGTGATATTTTCTTTATTCATTTATTAATTCAGTAATGAAATGACCCTGGCTCACCATTGCACATCTATTACAGCTGTCCAGAACCTAAAATGACACCTTAACAGTGCTTGTTTTGCTCAGTATTCAAACAACAGCCTTAAGGAAACCCAGAGTTAATCTATAATGAAGAACCTCAGAAAGAAAAGGACAGCACGTCCTCACATGTGAGAAGCTGGGAGCGAAAGGTTTTTAAATTTATTTACTGGAATTATTTTGTAAAAGCATCACTCATTTGGCCTTTGAATGTTAAACAAAAGTACGTATTTCGTTATCTCTCATGACATTTATATGGACATATCGCCATATATTTAAATCTGACCTCTTAATATTCGCAGGTCTTGAGTAAATGTGATTTGAGTGATCGAGGTTTCGCTTAGGTTCTCGGAAACAGCATCAGAGTGAGCGCTCTGTCATGGCGGCTACTCTGTCAGCTGCTCGGTTCTCAGAAACTGCGTCAGAGTGAAACCTCCATCCTGTCTCTTCCTCTGTGTCAGCTGCTGCGTCTCCTCCTCCGCTAGCTTAGCCTGCTAGCTCGCAGCAGCAGGGAAGGTAAACATGGCTATGTCGCAGGCTCTGTCCGAGGAGGAGTTCCATCGGATGCAGGTGAGAAAAACTACGGCGATTGTTCTTTTGGTGTGTAGGTGTCAGTGTGGTGAAAAACACCTGTGCGGTGCAGCATCACTGCCAGGGGCGTTTGCCCAGTCTGCTAATCGTGAGCCGTTGCTAGGTGGGAGCGGTTAGAACGGCTAGCTCGGCTGACATTATTCATTTAACGTTGGCAGGAAGGTAACGGGCAGCCAGAGCTTTGACATGCCTCCGGGCGATATAGTTAAGAAGGGGAGGAAGCAGACACAATGAGAGAGCTCAGTTCAACACTTAGCCTAGCTTACACCCCCCCCCTGTAAAGAAAAGCACAGCGTAGCATTTTTGGTGCTAACCGTTACTTCTATCTGACAGCGGGCTAACATGTTAGCATTCACGGGACTCTCGCCCTGCTGAGAGTCACGGGGTCCTAGGCAAGCTGCCGTGGGCTCCTCTGTATCGGAGACAGGGCCGGGAAGCGCAAACACCTGTTAACATACTAACCACTGACATCCCCGACTACTTTAATAGGACTGTTTACTCATAGAGTCGTTCTCTGTTGTTGCACAAAGTGTAAGAACAGGAATCTTGACTGTCTTCACACATGGTAAACAGCAGTAGGGAAGAGTTCAAATATATTTACCACAAAAAAGCCGTTAATACAGCTGTTATACTGTAGTAAACGCATTTTTTTTTAAATTTCTTTAAATGCAGCTGTAAGGCCCCTCTGGGGCAGTAAGGTGGGTCCCCTCAGAACGTCATGCTGTTTATGAAATATTTAGGAAGAAAGATCTTTCTAAAAGATGGAGGTAGCCACTGGTGTCAGCAGCTGGTTTTGGACTTTTACAACTGTCATTGTTGTGTTTTTTGGTGTCAGCAGTGAGTGTATTTAGGCAAGTGAATAGAGTGCTCTATAATGAGCATAAACAGCATTTTGGGTGGGTGTAGCTGCCATGATGTCACCCGTTGGTTTGCGAAGTCCTGCTACAAAGCTTCAAGATCAGGGTGTTTAATGTCGCCCTCTTGAAACTGGATATCTGGGATGGATCCGACTATGAATCCACTTGTGTTAAGTGCTTCAGTTGAAGGCAGCTGGACTTCTTGGTTCATGAAGACATTTCATCTCTCATCTCAGGGGCATCTTCAGCTCTGAAACCTGATAGGGGGTCCCAGGTATTTAACTCTTTGGGGAGGGGTGGGACCACCTGTGCATCATCAGCGGTTATTTTGCCTCTTGCTGACATTCATTGATCTCTGGTCACCATGCTGCTGCTTGTTACAGTAATCAGTTTATTTACATGTTAGATTTGTTTTTAAAAAGATGAATAAGCTCATCTTCAGTTGACCTACTGGCCAATCAAAAACACAACATGATTCATGCAGTTTCTAAGAAAAGCCGGTCATAAATTAATACTGGTGTGTGTGTGTGTGTGTGTGTGTGTGTGTGTGTGTGTGTGTGTATCCTTGTGCAGGCCCAGCTGTTGGAGCTGCGGACGCAGAACTACCAGCTGTCTGATGATCTCAGGAAGAACACGGCAGGTAAAACCTTTCACTCTTTGTCCTTCTTGTTCCTGCTGTTTCATCTCATCAACACTTGAATTGACCACAAGCACACGAGAGGCTCTTTAAAGCAACAGAATTTTTAAAAACACGGATTAGAAGACCCACAGCATAAAACCAGTTTTCCTGCTCCACCTGAGCAGCTTCTGTCCAGGTGAAAGTTTTACTGAAATTAAAATTCTTTTTCGAGAACGACCTTGCCAACGGGGCAGCAGATATTATAAGAGACATTAGAGGACAAGTGCAAATGTCACACAGTGCATGAGAGAGAACACAACATTGAGATTATATGAAATATAAAATAAAAGGTCAAGGTCAAAATGACTTCAAACTCATTTTGTTGCAAGTTTCAGAGAAACCACACTGACCGAGAAGCTTTTGTCTCAGGGTTTACAAGTGACTGATGCAAACCGTTAACTGTGGGGTTGTTTACGACCGTTTCAGGTCCGTCTGCATATTATTCCAGGAAAACAGGACCGGATAGATGAATCTTTGTTTGTGTAGAAAGGGCTGGGATTAGCTGGATTTTAAAAAGTCATAAAATAATCATGTGTAGTTGGAAACACTGTAAGGCCAGAGGAGGATTTTGGTGTAGTTAACTTGGAGCCGTCCTGTGTAAAATGAATCAGTGCCTTGAGTAACAGGCCCTCAAGAGTGCACAGGTCTGGGTCAAAAACTTCTGGCCTTATTTTGCCAGCATTTTTAAGCCCTCATAGGTCCATGAGTACAAGGATATCCACAAATTTCAGAGTTAAAAGACACATTTACATGGCTGGATTAAAAAAGAAGACAGCATATGTAGGTAGAAAGGTCTTCTTTCTACCTACATTTTGATATCAGGCTCATCTCTAGCCACAATTCCTTCTAGGTCGTAATCATTCTGTAATATAGTCATGGTATGAAGGTAAAATTTCCATGGCTTTGTTAAATACACGGAGGGGCTCAGGTGGGAAGCATTTTAAGTGGAATGGTCCAATAATCATAGTGATGGTATTTTTATTTCTGTCCCACTTTTTAAAATGTACATATTCACACAAAATAAATTGCACACAGATAAGTGTGTACATATCACAGCATAGCCTGCATGAAAGCAAGCAGGGTCCTTCACTAGAATGAAATAACACAACATGAGACGGTCTACGAAAACGCAAGCCTACAGGAGGGAATCTGCCCCCAGCCCCCTGACATTCACCGATACAAGCAGGCTTTAAATGCAGTCGATGTACAGACTCCGCTTCAACTAACGAACATGAAATCATTCATCAGATAAATATTTGATTGGCCCATGTTAGCAGTAAAACTTTAATGAAGAGGAAACGTGTGTTTTCTATAATTAAATGTCGTCCTGGTGCATTTCAGAGCTGAATGCCGTCCGTCAGAAGAATGTGGTTTTGGAAAGAGATTTTGTCAAAACACAGAAGGTAACGAACACTTTATTACTATGTAGTTGTTTTTGTAGATGAGTGATTGGAAAAAAATAACCTGCTGACCTGAATTTGGGGGTTTATTTTCTAACAAAGCTGAGCGAAGAGTTTTCCTCATCTCTTCATGTTGTTGATTTACATTAAATGTTTTTCCGCTTTTCTTCTTTTCAGGCCTTGACTAAGAGTAAGAAAGCTCAGGTAAGCTGTTGTTTGATGATAATTGTTACCTCAGTGAATTTCTAGTGTAAACATTTTTCAATTATGTCCTTTTAATTGTTTCTTATTTTGTCATTGTTAATGCTTTATGGCTTCCTTATTATGCTAACACAATCACCAATAATCTGCTTATTGGAGGTTATTTCTGTAACTGAGACAAACCGCAGTGCAAACATCGCGTCTTCTTGTACCGTCACATCCCAGGAGCTGTTTAAGCTCTGCTTCTCTGGTGAAAGCTGTAATGTTTAAAGGTCATTCAGGCAATAGGTGAACTGGAAGTGCATCAGAAAAATAAGAGTTTAGTTTTTGGCCGTGTGTCATTTCTCTGTTCTGAAGAAAACCTGAAGTACGACTGAACTGTGGTTTTAAAGTTTGTGTTTATTCTCACCTGGTGCTGACGTCTTCTCTATTTTTGGCACTGTAGTGTTTTCACCGAAAATGTTAATTCACTCTGACTGCAACATGTTCCACTAGCTTTCTGTCGCATTGTTTGGCACAGAAACCCAATCACCCGCCACTGTTTGGATGGTTTAGTTGCAAAGAAATGACAGAGATATAACAATATGTCAAAATACTACATCACGAAAGTTTGGTCAGTCTGTCTGTGAGAGTGATCTCAGTTGGAGTTTCTGTAACCTGTAGTCAGCTTTTTATTCTGAATGTATTATTTTGTGTGTTATTTCTCTGTGTGTAGGAGGTGGATGCTTTGCTGAGTGAGAATGAGATGCTTCAGGGGAAACTCCACAGTCAGGAGGAAGATTTCAGACTACAGAACAGCACACTGATGGCTGAACTCTCCAAGGTGAGTCTGAGTGTTTGTGTGTAGTTCAGACACTGTAGAAGCTTCATATCATTATTGTGATCTTAACATTATAACATTTATTTTTCCAGCTGTGTACACAGATCGAGCAGCTGGAGCAGGAGAATCAGTGCCTGAAGAAGGAAGGAGGAGCAGCCTCTGCATCCAGCCCCCCACCTAACCCTGCATCCAGCCCCGTGGATGGAGAACTGCTCCGCCTCCAAGCAGAAAACTCCACCCTCCAGAAGAAAATGAAGGGTGAGGTGACATTTAAAAGGTGGAGATCTATCATCTCTGCAGTTTTAGAGGCTCATATTTTAATATTTTTTTCACATAAAAATCGTCCTGAAGGTGCGTAGAGCCAAAGACAAGTAAAGGAAAAATATCACGATCTGACAGTTTATCTTCAGGTGTCGAGCTGAGATTCGCCCACCTGTGTTCTCTCTCTCTCTTCCTGCATCAGCAGCAGTGTATTCAAAGACTTTGACACGCAGTAAGCAGTGTTGGGGGTGGATAGAGCTCCTTTAACTCCCCACAGCGTCGCATTCTGTGCAGTTCAGGAGACAGACAGAGGCTACTGTTGTTTTTCGGCATATAAGTATTAATTTTCACAGGTTTAGAATTCATCATTTAAAAAAACGTAATCATAAGCCTTCCTGGCACATTACAATATAAACTCAACTCTTCGTCCACAGAAGGCCTTTATCATTAAACATTTGCTGACATATGCAAACATTAGTCATTTTTGTCTGCTGCCCTCAGTTTTAACTGACCAGTGATTTTTGAGGAAATTAGGTAATTTTGAAAGGAGAAGTGTTGCATGAAACAAAACCCCAAACAGGACTCAGAGAAGGATGCTAGGAACTAGGCTGATGAGACGAGCTTGTATAAATCTGTACGGATGGAGAAACAGCACATGTGTTAGCAGTGTGTAATTAGCTGGGTGTATTGTGTACTGATGACTGAAGGTATGGACAAAAACATTGTCATCCTACTCATGAATTCTTAATGTTCTCACTGTGAGAGTTAACTTGTGTGTGCTGGGGAACGTTGTCGGTACGTGGGTGTGATTTTTAGATGCTCTTTATTTAGATTGAAGTTTAGGTAGAAGCTCCTATTGGCCAGACAGACATCATTTACTGATCTGGTTGATCACAGCATGTTTGCAACATCAGGCATTCAAAGTTGACTTCGTTCACATACAGTGACAAATAATTTGGACAGATGAACAAGTAAAGTTGGTTTAGAGTTATAACTTGTGCCTGGTTATTTATTTCCCTTTTTAAAGGTTTTAATACAATTTCATGTAAAAAGTTATGAAGCTAACCTGGGCGCAGTGACCGCCGGGCTTGTAGTACAGCTGTGGAAACCTTGTGATTCCTGTTAGTCCTTCATGAAATGAATGACTGAATGAATGAATGATGTTAACTGCAATTCTCCTCCAGCCCTGCAGGAGCGCTTCGACAAGGAGCTGCAGAGACAGGCGTCCGTTCAGGGCACCCAGAGTGCGACCACAGAGACTGACGGATCAGCAGGTACCAATGGAGTCTCTGATGTCACAGGGACAGGGGCGGAGTCATTGCCAGGAGGATCCAATGAGAGACTGGAACAGGTGATTGGAAGTCAAAGACACAGCCGATGCAGCATGTTTGTGATATTTTCAGCCATCGAAGATGATGCGTTCAGATTAAATATATTCTTTGACCAAAAATCCAAAATCCTCAAGTATTAAGTTTACAGTTTAGATATGATGAAAAAGGTGCTTTAATCTTTTTAAGTTGAAATCTTGTTTCAACTTTAGTGCGAGTCACCTGATGTAGTGCTGCTGGACTAGAGTTTACTGAGTGCTAGGGCTGCTCAATTAATCGAATTTTAATCTCGATTACGATCTGGGCTTTCAACGATCATTAAAAATGACCGAGCCGATTATTAGCCCCTCCCTCATGCTTTACTCTCGCGCTGCTCCGTGTGGCAAATCGAGCGCACCTCTCTGCATTTCACGTGTCACAACAATTAAGAGGACCCGAGGGAAGCTCGGAAAGCTAAGCAGAAGTTATTTGGAGGAGAGTGACTGCCGTTGGTTGAAAAGAGAGGTAAAAAAAACTTCAGTGGTGTGGAAACATTATGGGTTGGCGGAGTCAGACGTGGATCAAGTAGACACAGTGTGTAAACTTTGCTACACTAGCTGCACCACAGAGCAACACTGCAAAGTTCACTAAACATAGATGTTTACATTTTTCATTTATTTTTTTTATATTGCAAACATTTGCACTGTTATCAGTATTTGCACTATTTTATATTATTTTTTGACAATCTTTAAAGTCATTATTCAATACATTGTTATTGTTAAATAAATATCGTCAAATAATCGAGATCTCAATTTCAGTGAAAATAATCGTGATTATCATTTTTGCCATAATCGAGCAGCCCTACTGAGTGCTTTTAATATTTTGTCCCGTCACGTGTGCTCATGTTATAGCACACTATACTGTAATAAGTATGTTTTTTTCCCTTGTCTGTTTTTCAGGCGGAGCCTGAGCTGCGGCAGACGGAGAAACAGCTACACGGTGAGTTTACAGTTCGCTCTTTTGCTCACACGGTGTTTCCACTCAGAGGAATAACTCCTGTTCTTTCATGTGGTAATTAGTAACTTCCTGAAGAATAGCATTTAAAATATATGCTGTTTATTACATAATTAAAGACTAAAGTATTGAAAAGGTGTCTGTATCACTGTAAGTACTTTTATTGCCCTGAAAAAATGACCATGACGTACTTATAGAAGACAGGAAGCTCAATGAACCGTATGAGCTTCACATGCAGAGACAGGATTTATCCTCCACAGTGGGTTACACTGAGCTTTGCTTTCTGCCTCCACTTAACATAAACCTCGAAACATAAACACTGGATTTTGATGTCAAATGGAGTTTTGAGTTCCAGAGAGAATTTTCTGATGGTATTCAGGGTTTTTCTTGCAGTTGGCAGCCCCCGTGCAACAGGACCTTAATCTGTTTTACTGAACGTTCTAATTGTTGGAGCCTCTCAGCTTTGAGCACACTGGCTCTAAAAACACTTGAGTGTTTTTTCCCTGTCTTGGTAGTAATGAAGGTGCCTGAACAGCAGTGTGATTCACTGATGTGTCTTTGAAGCAGCAGTGAGCTCTGAGTTGATAGATTTATTTTCTATCTGCACAGGGGTTTGTTGACAAGAAGAATAATGCTGAATATCACAAGATTTTAGGTGTAACATGTGGGCTTTAGCATTTCAGCTATCTTTATTTATGTGCTCATTACCACATTACATGCAAACTAACTGTATCAACATGCTGCACGAAGATGATCAAAATGGGTTTTATTTTGTGTGTGAATGGATCTGACAGCTCAGACTTTAATAAGGTCATCTTCGTGCAGCGAGCTTTATAAACCGATTTACACCTGAAGCCAGCAGCTGAAAGGAAAACAGTCTAAAACCTGATCGCCACGCTGGTCTGAAGAAAAGCTTTAATCTGTCAAGCTTACAAACGCACGCTGTGTTTTAACAGCCGTCTTTTAGTTTGAATTTTGGGCTTCTGTAAGGTGAACCCACAGCTGGCTTTATAGGTGCAGAGCAGCTAGCTGGCTCAGGGCAGACACACACTACAAGCTGAAGCAAGGAAAAACAACGAAATCTGTTAGGAAGCCGCAGATTAATTAGGCTTTAATGTGGATATAACAGCTGAGGCTGCTTGAGCAGGTATTCCCTGTTAGAGCTGCAGAGCCAAACTCATTTCCACCTGTTATAAATAAAATCTTTGTTTTTGGCAGTCACTCCTGCAGTCTCTGCACTTTATGGAGACGCTCAGAGAATTTCTTGTAATATGAACAAGTGATTATTAATTTCAATACATAATTAGTGTGAGACAATCATACTGAAAATGGTAAAAAATAGCTGTATTTTGCAGCAGCCTGTGAGTCAAAGTTACCACTGGTTATTTTTCTGGTAACATATAAGTGAAGTGAAGAAATGTTACGCTGCTGTTCTCTGTTTTGATAAATGTTGGATGACACCGCCTCTCTACAAACAAATGGACCTGAAAGTGAAAACCTGCAGAGTTCATATAAGCATGCTGTCAGTGAACGCAAACTCACAAGATGCAGCAGTTGATGTTTGACTTTGCAGCTCACCCGGAAAATCCTGGGCTCCGACTCTGTCTGCCTCCTCCAGAGATTAAAAACAAAACAAAAGAAAAACCCAACTTCTCAGACGGCGTGTAAAGTGAGGAGCTGGTGTAGTGTGTGTCTGGCCTAATGGACTGCCCCTGCTGTGTGCGGCGCCCCCTTTAGGCCTGTCAGAGAAGAGCGTAGAGAAGATTGTAGCTAAGCAGGCAGCGCTAGGCTGGTCGGCTGCTCTCTGTCCAATAACTCACTGCTTTGGACCAGAGCTGGAGATGGCCCTGAACACCGAGCAGGAGGAGAAGAGGCTGCTGAAGGAGCAGATCCACACCCTGGAGGTACACATGCACACAACAAACACAAAAAACACATTTGCACTCACATATATCAGAGTAAGTTCTACTCGAGTACTTCCTTTATATATTTACTCCACTAAAAGTCCAAAGTGATAAAAAACTTTCCGCAGAGTAATGCTTTCAAATTCCCAAGAAAAAAAATTCCAACTAAAACTACTTAAAATGAACTGTTTTACTCTGTAAAATCTAAATGAGCAAACCAAAGTCAGGTCATAATTTCCTGTTTTATTGTCCAATGTTTGTGTAGGACGTGCAGAAGTGTAACTCAGCGTTAGTTCACCTTCACTTGTGTTTCTTCTGAGAAGTACATGGATGCTTACACAAGGAGGCTGCTCCAACACTGCGGGCTCGATTAGTACACTGGATCATGTTTACCAGAAATAACTTTGAAGTAACAATCAATAATTATTGTTCGATAATACCTTAGCAAGCTAATTTTAGGTAGCATCCCACACTGAGCCAAACAAACATGTTTTTGATGGATTTAGCTGAGAGTGAACTCCTAAAATTTCTCCTCCTGAGTTTTTTGCTTTGAAACAACACAAAAATATGACGTCTCTGTGGACATCTGCTGCTGGACTCCATAAGCTCCACGTGTGGACTGGTTCAGTATTTTCTCTGGTTCTGCAATCTCAAATGAGAATATTCACAGATGAACGTATTGACGTATTGTATGGAACGTATCGTATTTCCAGGCCGATCACAGCAGATCATCGGATCAAATTTTAAAATTGATTCCATTCTGCAGTAAACGGCATATGAACAGGAATAACGTTTAAATATTAGACAACATTATAGAATATTACAGTAACATCTACTTCTTCTTTTTCATACTGCTTCTTTGTGGTGTAATGTTGCTCGATCTGTTGTGTAATTAACTTCCACTTATCCAAAAAGCCCAAAGAATAAAAAAGTCTAAATGTTGGCAGATGAAACGGTTGTATGTCGTGAGTGAGAGAGGAAACGAATTAATTCATGACAGGAACATAAACGGCAGATGGAGAGCAGCGGTGAAATGTCAGCGTGACTAACGGACGACTGTGTCCTTTCCTCAGCGTTCACCCGCTGAGGCTTTTTATGGGAAACATGCCTGAAGATGATTGTGATTTCTTGACCTTTAAATTGGTTGAACATTACAGGTTTGACAAATGAGTACTAAGGAGGAGGGGACAAAACATCTCGAGTGGTAAATGGTCTGTATTTGTAAAGCGCTTTTACTTGGTCCTAAGGACCCCAAAGCGCTTTACACAATCATCCACCCATTCACACACTGGTGATGGCAGCTACATTGTAGCCACAGCCACCCTGGGGCGCACTGACAGAGGCGAGGCTGCACTGGTGCCACTGGGCCCTCTGACCACCACCAGTAGGCAACGGGTCAAGTTTCTTGCCCAAGGACACAACGACCGAGACTGTCGGAGCCGGGGCTCGAACCGGCAACCTTCTGATTACAAGACGAACGCCCAACTCTTGAGCCACGATCAAGAGTGTTCGTGCTGTAAACCAAAACAGCTAAAACGCTGTGTGCTGCCCCTGTTTTAGTCCAGCTTTGAATTTGAATGCTTGAAAGTATTTAAACAGAAGAGCTACAGTGTGCATTTCAAATGAGCCAGCAGGCACAGCTGACAATTTGAGCCAAAGTCACAAGTCTGCTGTTAACGTGTCATTAAATTAGGTTTCTGTTTTTACTTTTTGATTTTGAAAACTGCTGCTAGCTCTGTCAGGGTCACCCACACTAGAAATGATTTTTGTTTGGTGGATGATGACTGTGTGATTGATACATGAACCCTGAGCTTGGACAGAAGGCTGCACTTCTCATAGCCTTTGTTTCCACATCATATAAACACGTTTCTGCTGCCACAGCTCAGCTAGATTTTCTTTTTTGTTGGATTTCCAAACCTGTAGCTTTGTTTGGACTGTTTGACTTGTTTTGCTCTTTTTTTTTTTCTTCCAAAAGTGTTGGTGTCGAGTTCATCAGCATGTCATCGTCATGCTGCTTTCCTATTGGTTGTTCAGTCGTAGTGCATCATGGTAGAAGTGCGTTATGAGATGCTCTGATTTAATCTCTGACACGCTCCTGATTTTTCACACATTATATCACCACAGATCTTTCATGATTCCAGATTCTCACGGTTTATATTCAGCTTAAAGGTTTTGATAACAGAAGGATCTGTTGGTCACATGACACCTGTCAAAATCCACTTTCATCGCCCAAATGTGATTTAAGATTACTTTAATATGTGAACTGTATTTCTTTTGGAAAGTCATTTGTGAATATTTGCTGCAGGATTATCTGTTTAACCAGAGTTATTAAAGTTTTAAACCTGGGCCTCATTTTCATATCACCTTGATGGTAAAATTGTTAATGGGAGCAAATGAATCTGAAAGAGCTGCACGTAATCCCAAAAGGCTCAAAGGTTTTTGGAAAAACTTATCGTGATGCTGCAAACTGAGTTTCTTTGTGTTCGGACTTCCAAGAACCAAAACTCTGACTGCAGTTACCGTCGTTGGTCTAGGAACAGACGAGACATCCATTCAGAGGAGCAATAAGTTCACTTTGATTAATAAAAGTTAAGGAAATGTAATTCAGAGCAATACTTTTTAGACTCTTTGGACATTAGCCTGCATCGGTGTACTTAATAAAGTGGGGAGGATCTATAAAGTGAGCACTGAGCATGCTGTAAGTGTCTCTCTCCTCAGTTGACTGAACGTTTGCTTTCTGTCTGCCTCCAGGCGTCCAAACAGGCTGAAATCACCAAACTGCAGGAAGAAATAACAAAGGTAAATCTTCTCAGGGCTGACAACACACAACCACTGTGTAATAGAGATTTATTTTGCAGTAACTATGCCAGTGAGCTGATATTGGCTATTAAAGGTGCAGCTTTTTAATGCTGTTTCCGTCTCTTTGTCCTGCAGCTGTCTGACAAGCTAAAGAAGAAGCAGGAGAGGTGAGATGACCTAACCGCAGTCACATTCACAGCTTTTTGACACAGTTATCAGCCAGTAATGTAGCAGCAGTGCTGTATAAACTGCTTCAGGCGTGGCTCAGTTCACTTAACCTTCACAGCAGCTGGATATTGTAGGTAGAACACCCTGCAGTAGTAGAGAGAGAGAACCCCAGCCAAGTAAGAAATGAATAAGTCTTAAACTGTGAATCAAAGCTACTTGAGTCGAGGTGAAGATTTAAAGAATATATATCCCGGTCTGGAAACAGATTCACCATAATGTTAATCTGTTCTGGGCAACTAAACGAAAGCTTATGTTGTTGTTCTCCTGCAGTTTCCAGCGTCTGCAGACAGAAAAGGAGGCTCTGTACAACGACAGCAGGTCAGGACTGCCGTCACCCCGCTGCTCTTACTCCCACTAGTGTATTGACGGCTCTAATGTCCACGGTTCAGGCTGTGTGCTTTTTTTCCCCCTTTAAATGTGCTGCTTGTTGTGGAAATGTTGACCTTTTGTGCTTTTGATTCTCTGCAGGACAAAGATCGATGAGATCAACCAAAGAAAAGAAGAAGAGCTGAAGGCCATGAATATCCGTGTCCAGAAACTACAGACGGACCTCATGGCAGCCAATCAGGTTCGATCTCGCTAAGAAATCGCACCAGTTCATTACTATGTACGTTCCCCCAGCTCCTCTATGATTCTTTCCCCAGTCAGTACAAGGAAAAGTAACCATGTTGGAATTATTTATGTACACCGATAAAAGTTTACAAAAAACTAAACACAGAAGTCTTGCTCGATGTTGTGTGGTGTAAGTTTAACCACTGAAAACAAACAAAGCACTTTCTATCTGAAATGAATTTTTTATGTGCAGAATGTTGAAAAATGGGCCGTATCAGCCCATCATCAGTCATCCTCCAGGTGTGATAAACACACAATCTGTGTTAATACCAGCTCTGGGTACTACAGCCCATAGAGGGCGCTAAAGCACGTGATAGATGTGTCAAAAGTACAAAATATTCCATATTCCTGGTTAAGTGATGACGTATGAATCCCACTACCTCGTCCGAACTCCTACATTCATTAAGGCTGTTGTCTGTTTAACATGTTGTGATGTGTTGTATCTTGTTGTCTTTAATATACTCCACCTCTCTGGCTTTTTGTTAGCACCATTCATGTGCAGCACATCTTTAAGCTCAGTTTTTAAAAATGGATGGATGGTAACTGTGCTACATGGGCTCACGGTTTGCCAAACACCAAATAACTAAGCTCTACAGAGAACTGTCCTTCTGAGGCTAACTAAGAGTTCAGTGGGGACATGAAGCTGAGGAGCAGGAATTGTTCATAACGAGTAATCCAAACCACGCAGCAGCATATTATTGACTACCCTGGTGTTGTGGATGGATCATCACAGATGTTCTCTTGACTGAAGTTGGGTCCTCTTTTAGTGCTTTTTTCCTGTCTTATGATTTCATTTGTCTCTGTCCATCTGGGACCACCACAATAGCTTTTATTGAGGGGGCAAACTTTAATGTTCATCCTCCATCTTGGCTGTGTTAATGTGTTTATATTATCCTAGCTATAGCTCTGTAGCTAGATACCAACTAGCCCAGCGTTAATGACACCACAGATATTGCTGCTGTTTAGTTTTCTTCAGTTATGTCTGAAGTGAAAGCAGAACAATACTTTTGGGTCTTATCTAACAAAGAAAAGAATCAGTGTGCTGCTGAGATAATTACACAGTGATGAAAGTTTGGACTTGTTTAAGAACACACCATGTCTTCATTGTTTGGACTTTATGTTTTTTTTAATTGACAGAAACTCTTAAAAATCAGACTTTGTATCATGAAAAGTAGTTCATGTCTGTGGCTGACGTCTGTTGAACACCTTTGGGTGTTATTGGAGAATCTGAATCAGACCGAATCCGTTGGACACACTGAATAATTAAAACATGCATTAATAAAACATTCATGCTGTTTTTCATTTAAACGTGACGTCACATTTTCTGTACGAGTCCAAAAACAAAAAAACTTTTAATTCCAAAGTTTGCACACTTCACATGTCCTTGTGAACATAGTGAAAGAGTCTCTTTCTGTTCGGTTTTCTCCTCTGTAACGATCATTTCACCCTCGTTATGAACTTTGACTTTTTACTTTATAAACGAATCATTTGTGTTTGTGCGTTTTCTTGTTCAGACGGTGTCAGAGCTGAGAGAGCAGCTACAGAGCAAAGAGAAGGAACATGAGGTGGCTCTGCACACACTGAAGGACGAGGTAATGCATGCGTGCACGCACACACACACACTGAGTCAGAGATCGTGAATCCTGCCACAGACAGGCAGACTTCTGAACCTATTTCCATGTCTCAGGCGCAGCAGGAGTGCAGTAAAACACACACATATAAAGACGTGACGGCACTCTTATTTCGATATTTGTCCACATCCAAATTCTGCACACACATATTAGAATACAGTTTTCTTTTTCTTTTTTTTTAAATTGAAGAGGATAAGGTTGAGGGAAAAGGGGACAAGGGAGGAAACAGTGTGAAGGTTGTAGGAGTTTGATTAAAGCTGACTGTTTTCGGTTCTTTCACTTCTCTGTGAAGCTGCTTCTCTGCCAAAGTGATATAAATGTTTAAAAAGGATCTGTTTTCACCAAAAACAGGTTTTTAAAATGAAGGAAATGAAATGAGAGATGGTGGGATGGAGAAAGCTCCTTAATACAGATGATTTTTTCTTAATAAAGTACAAATATGTTTTGGAATATCACTCTGGTAGTGGAACTGGTACTTCTGTGTGTTTCTGAACTGCTTTATCCTTCTCTAATCCTCGACTCTGTTCTTTCTGTCATCTTTGTCATTTAAAATTTCTTTACCTGTACACTCTTATGTTTGTGTGTGTTCTTTTTGTTTTGTTTACCTCCTATATTGCCTTTGTTTTTCTCGCTTTCTTTATTTGCTCTTTACTGGTTTCTTTCCTATCTTATCTTTTCCCCTCTGACGCCCCCTGCTGGTGGTTTGGTGCGACTGCAGGTAGCCAGTCAGAGTGCAGTCAGTCAGGAACAGGTGGACAACATCCTGCAGGAGAACGATGCTCTGAGGACAAACCTAGCTGCTCTAGAACAGGTAATAAATGTTACACAGCATGGAGAGAGTTAACGCCACTAACTTAGTGGCCATGAAACCAGAGAACCCCTCATAAGCATGACGTCATCTCTGAGCACTAACCCAGCTACTTTTAACATGTAATAAAACTGATGAACAGTACCATAACCCTGACAGTACATCATCTCTGTGTACTAGAGAAACTGACAAGAACGTTACACTGACCAATGAGGAAAAAGTCATTAATACCTCAAAGACCATCACGCTGCTACTAATCACACAACAGTTACCTGATCCCAGTTGTTGCTTTAGAAAGAAATGACAAAAATTCACATTACTGTGATTGTCTGCAGCACCTGGACTTGGACCATGCTAACACAAAGCAAGTAGTTAAAGATCAGAGCCGTGCGAACCAAGCAGCTGAAGCTTTGTTAAAGGTTAAGAAAAATCTACAAAATATTAGCATCTTACAAAAAAGAGGAAATTTTGCTTATTAGAATGAACTGCTGTTACAAGAATTACTTGTAATCCACTTGTTCCATATATATATATATATATGTGTATATGTATAATATGGAACACTGGATCAGGCTGTGTTAATGCAAAGAAAAGCGTGTCATGCTCCGAGCATTCAGCTTCAGCTGTTTAATAGCTTCATTTACTGGTTAAAGACAGACAGCCCAATCAGAAAGAAGTTTAATGTTTTATATAATTCTGACCTCAAAACGCTGGTTTGAACCACTTACTGTTTTTTGTAATTGATGTCATTTCACGTGAGGTTTTGTAAATCTGACCCTGAACAGGATCATCCAGAACACTTGACTCACACACTATCAAACTGTAACTCACCTTGTAGGAGAACAGTCCTCTGGGGACTGATCTGTGCACGCTTGACCAGGTATTTATATCTTAGACTAGAGTAGAGCCCTCATCTAGGACCCTAACCTTAGCTTGTTTTTCTGGACTAATGTGACTCTTGAAAACTAAACTACATACTGCTGCACCGAGTGCTAACAACAGAACACTTTAGAGAGGCTTACATTAAATCTTTTGTGCAAGTGTAAAATTCAAAGCGCTTGCAAGAAACTAGATGATAGATCTGTGAGGGCTGCCCAACTAATGATGGTAGGTGGAGTTAATCTAGAATAGCTTTTTTAGAGAGAGTATCTAGAACCTGTGTGTTTATTGTAGCAGCTGTCTTTAATGTCAGTGTGGAACACGTGTTGCAGGAGAACAGTGCTCTGAGGACTAATCTGTGCGCTCTTGAACAGGTAATTATTTCCTGACTCCTCATGTAGAGTTTAGCATTAGATTGAGGTCCTGAAATGAACTTTGATTCCTAGAATCTTTTCCAAAGGCTTTTTTAAAGATTGATCCCCTTAAAAATAAAATAACATGACTGTGTATGCTGAGTAGAATGTGTTGATGTCCTGAACCAGAAGCCTAAGTAGAGTGACTGGTTACGGTGACTGAGATTAGTTGGTTGGAGCTCCTCAAAGTAATCACGATGATCAGTTTTTCCTGCTTTCCAGCAGGTTCCTGCTTTAATTCTGATTTATGTAATGAAAATGTTGATGCTGGAGGAGGTCAGTAACCTCAGCTGTAGCTCATTAGGGTTCACATCCATGGTCCATGTTGCTTTCTTTGTTTGTGTCTAGCAAGATGTATATTTGATGAAATGTACGACCTTTGGCCTGATTAGATCTGTTCGTGTTGTTCTTTGTCGTCATTCTGAAACACTTAACCAACTGTGTTACATGTTAGGTTTTCAGGTTACTTGGAGGGCAACATCTTCACCTTTTGATGTCTTAAATGCTTTTTAGAAAGAAAAAGTCTAAATAGTGTTTGATTTTTCAGTCAGACTTTTTCCACCCAAATCCCAAGACTTGGAGAAATACTTTTTCAAAGTAAAAGTTGCATATTCTGATGGCATACTGTTGGGCCTCAGAGGTAAAGATTAGGCCTTTTGCCATTGTCCATGACATAGACCTCACCGGATTATTCATACCAATACAAAATGTTTACTTAAGTATAATTTGTGTCTTGTGACTCTTGTTTGTGTCGTCATAAACTAAAGAAAAGGTCTCATGATCATCATTGGTGTTTACGTTGGCACTTTTCGTCACGTCCATAAGAAACTGCAGGACTGAGTTGGTGCACTTGTTGTTCATAAACGAGTAACAAGTTGAAAATAGTTGAGCTTTAAAAAATCGCTGCACTCCTCAGTGTCACCACTTTAACTAAAAAAAATAAGAAGAGGCGGGATTTATGATGTCTATACTGTCAGTGAACAAACACTGTCGCTGACGACAGTCACTGACGAGCATGGTTTCATGAGCCAGCAACAGGTAAAGTGCTCTGATGTTCCACGTTAGCCTCAAACTGGAAGATTGATTTAGAACGGAAAATTGCAAAGAACAGTTAAGACGGTGAAATCATTAAGTCCGATACAAAACGCACTGTAGGATTAAATACGTTCTTAAACTTAGAAACCTGGACTCAGGAGACGCTCCAAATGCTTCGTCCTCTGTTCTCAGACGAAACAATCCATGTGCTGACTTACACAAATCTTTGTGTGGTTTGTAAAGCCAAAGTATACATTTACACTCTGCTTTTTTCTCACTTAAAGTCACTGTGCTGTACACGTGAATATTCTGACTAGAAATCAAAATAACGCAAAAACATTTTTCTCCCAGGAACTTTGTCATGGTAGTAAAATGTTTTTTGTGTTTCCTCTGAGACCTACACACACACACACACACACACACACACACACACACACACACACACACACACACACACACACACACACACACACACACACACACACTGATGTTCACACGAAACCTGGCTGTGTGGAGCTGTGCTGCTTTAGAACATGAGAGCATGACTGCTGTCAAAGAAACTGGAAATTAAAATGTATTTATCAGATTCACTGCTTTGGGTCTTACTAATGCCGGCTAGTTCGCTCTCTGAACTGGACAATGTTATGTTTAAAAAACTGAAATGAATGTTTTGAAATAACTTACAGTAAGCAAACGGATTTTTGGAAATCACCACAAATTTAATCAGAATTAGTGGCTGAAAATTGCAGCTAGGCTGCTACCAATCAGAAGTGTGCAGTGGCACAAACTCTAGAGTCTGCTTAGACAGCCATCACCGTGGTGGCTCCAAAGGGTGTAATCCTACAGCCTGAAGGGATATAAAAGAGGGTCAGCTGATGTGGGTGACCTATAGAGATGGACCTCCGACATGGATCTATATGTAGATAAATGATCTGTGTGTGGGGGTTCATGCCATTGTTATACCTAAAAGGCCAAATGATTTAATGCTACAACTTACATCTTATTTAACCTGTGGTCATCTACTGTTCTCTGCTTCATCTTAATCATCTGTCATCGTCATTCTTTTCTATCTAATATTTTCTGGCAGTTGTTATCTGTCCAGGACATTCTTGTACATGTACGTGTTTAAGTTGGACAGGTACTGCAAAGAGTTGTTCAGGAATAAAAGTGAACACTGTAAAGAGAAATAAAGTGTTTGAAATGTGTTTGTAGATCCAGACGGTGAAGACGCAGGAAATGAACCTGTTGCGAGAGCAGCAGGAGGCGCTGACGGGCGAACTGCAGCAGAGACGAACTGAACAGGAGAATCTGCTGGCTCAGAGGGATGACCTCAACTCCCAGCTGCAGGTAGATTAAACAGTGGTTTGTTTAACCTTTGGGTTTTATCTCAGCTCGTTCTGCCGATATAAACGACTCTCCAGCTGTTTGTTTACACGTGGCTTTCTGCTTCTCTCACTTTACGTCCTTCAGGAGTCGAGTTTTGCCAACAGGAAGTTGTTGGAGCAGTTAACCGAAGAAGGACAAGAGAAGGATAGACTGCTGAGAGAGCTGGACGAGGCTAAGAAGGTACACACATAAACAACAACAACACACAGCGTGCCACATGGTGTCTGTACACAAACCAGCTGAACCAGTAGACACACTTACACCTGTTTGTGTGTGAGCAGACAGCAGAGAAGAGGAAGGCCATGCTGGATGAGATGGCCATGCAGCTGAACCAGGAAAAGTCTGACCACAAGGAGGCGCTGTCAGACCTCAAACTGCAGCACGAGAAAGAGGCGAGTGGTCATGGATCTGTGGCTTTTAATGGCTTTTATCCATCACAGTTTTCATGTCTTCTTTGTTTGGTTTCTCTACATGTCTATATAGTTTCTTTGCTTTGAATTATCGCTGATCTGTTTTTGTTTGTGTGGTTTTTAGTTTTTAAAATGTGCAAAAATAAAGAAAAGCCACACATTTTCATCAGATTTAGTGAATCCTTTTTGCTTTTGTCTCTTCTCTGTATTCCCTGACTCATTTTCTTCTTCTGTCTCCTCCTCTCTTTCAGGTTCTTGCAGTGAGGGCTCGATACGAGAAGGAGCTCAGAGGACTTCATGAAGACAAGAATCGCTCTGAGGAAGAAATCCGACAGCAGCTTAGAGATGAAAAGGTAAAGAGGCACACAGGAGGTGAAAGTGGGTAACGAGACAAAAGAAAACTCCTGATGTGTGTCTTCCAGATGTCTCGTATAACACGAGCAGCAGAGTCGTTATCGCACAAGTTCACGATACGCTTTGTGAGTTTTCAGGCTCGGACGAAGGAGCTGGAGGGTTTACAGCCCCGAGTGGAGGAGCTGCTGAGTCAGGTCCAGTCCATGGAGGGAGCCAAAGGATGGTTCGAGAGACGGCTCAAAGAGGCTGAGGTCAGTATCTGCTGAGTGCTGGCTGGTCACCCTATAAACCAGCGGTACTTTTCCGCCAATTCGTCCTCCAAATCCTCCGTAGTTTAAAGGTCGAGTTTGCACATTTGCATGATTATTTTAAAGTGAAAATGCCAACATTTACTGTTTTTAGCTTCTCGGCTGAGCAGATTCTGAGTTCCTTTGATTCCAAGTGTTCCTCTGTGACTGACTGTACTTTATCTGTCTGCTGATGCGAGCAGGAGAATATAGAGAAGAACAATCTGCAACATCAGGAGGAAATTGAGCAGCTGTGGAAAGAACACAAACTTCAGCTGGAGGTACACACACACACACACACACACACACACACACACACTTTCATTTCGTTTTATTTAATCAGGTAAAGGTGTCACTGAGAAGAGTAATGTGTTTTCTGTGAGTACAGAATGAAAGCCGGTGTTATAAGAACAAAAGCAGACAACAGACGATGACTGTCACACTTGATGAGATTACACACATTAAAGCGAGCACAGAAACATTGATTAACAGATCCTGTAGAAGTGACTTAAACTCAGCAGCAGTAATCAGCTCTGACAGTTTCACCTCCGTCTCTACTTCGCCTCAGGAAAAAGATGCTGAAAAGATGCCGAGACTGTCTTCACTCAAAGAAGCGACATCTATAAAATGTTATGTTCAGCACAGTTGAGGAAGATCATCTTGGGGTGGAGTTACAAACATGTATAAAAGTCACTCGATTGAAATGACGGACAAGAAAAGCTCCTTATATCCAGCCGTCACACCTTTGACAGGCGTTAGGTCAATTTTCAGGCACTGTGTCAGTTTTTCTGGATATCATCAGTAAACTGTGTTCCATCATAACCCACTACATAACCGTTTCTTTGCATTATATTCTGTTTCCACCTGTAGCCTGTCTGGTAGAATAATCATGTCTCTCTAAACTCCAAATGGAGGATTTGTAACAAGAAAAGTAATGAATACAGTGAGCTGTGTTTAACATTTTGCTCCATTTGCATTTATTTTATCTAATCAGTTGAACTCCTCGACTAAACTGCTGAGCAGTAATGTGGATGAGATGATATCAAACCCAAACTGCCTGCTGCTCAATTCTGCACACCTGTGAACTATAAAAATACAATTTCCCATCTTAGTAGTTATTATGGATATTTTCTTCTAGGCGATATTGTGCTATTTATCCCAGCGTGTTGGTCTCACGGACCCAGAATACACACACCATGTATGCAACGGTTTTAAACTGGATTCCTGTGTGCATACGTGCAGTGATTGGCCTCCTGCATTAGTGCACGGCCTGTAGTAAGACAGTCGCTTCAATCACTTCACAGCGATGTCGCAAACCTGCTGTTCAGTTGCAGAGATCTGACGGGCTTCAGAGGTTTGAAATGCAGACACAACTGCAGAGCCGGGCTCAGCTAAACCTGCTCTCTGAGACACACAGCAGTGGTGCATCAGAGAACCGTGCAATGATTTGTGTGATTGCTTCCCAGCATGCACTGGGACAGAGGATTTATCATAATTTTTCATGTGTTAGTGTGCTCTGTAGTGTTTCCACAAGTGATGTTTTCCACTCATTTTTTTTTGGTCCCCATGACTGCATGAAACATTGATAATCTGGTGAGACATATGCAGTTTAATTAATGACTCGTGCTAATCAGCACACATTTAATTTGTCAGAGAATCAGTTACATTTCTGTGCAGAATGAGATGAAATGATACAGAATCTGTAGCTGGTTTAATAGTAATTCACTTTAGTTCAGTCTTATTTATATAGTAAAGCTCCAGTTCACAACAGCAGTCATGTCAAGGTGCTTTAGTTAGATTAAGAAGCCTGAACTCCAATATAGGAGAGAAGACCCCATCAGTCAGACCAACCTCTATGAGCAAGCCCCAGCAGAACCAGGCTCAGGGCTGGGCAGCCATGTACTATGATCAGTCAAGCGGTGAGGGGGGAAAACAGGAACAAAAGGGATAGAAAGCTGAGAACAAAATATAAACTACAGGAGAGAAAAGGCACAAGATGAGGGCTTGCAGTAGTGGGATATAATATCCATGGAGAGTGGATGTGGAGAAAAGTGCTAAGTGTTTCTTGGGCCATGAGCAGGACTAAGGGATGGTTGAGGGTCAGCTGATCCAGCCCTACCTAAAAGTTTTATCAAAAAGGAAGGTTTGACGCCTGTTTCTGAAAAGTCGAGAGAATCTCGTCTCCCAAATCCACAGGAACAACTGAAGGCTCTGCCTCCATCCACAGAGCGCAGGCAAGGCTGCAGTCTGAGAGCGATGTGATGTGAGATGGTGGCGCTTGATCATTCATGACTTTGTATGTGAGAAGAAGTATCGTAAATTAAATTCTGGATCTAACAGGAAGCCAATAAAGATGAGCTAATGCAGGAGAAATATGATCTCTCTTTCTGGTTCCTGTCAGTACTCAGACTGTGGCCTTTCTGATCAACTGAAATCTTTCAGGGAGCTTTAGAACGGCCTGCTGATACGAATTGTAGTATTTCAGCCTAGAAAAATCAAATGCATAGACTATTTTTTCAGTAATTGTGACCTCTTAACAGTTGCACTTTTGAAGCTTCTACGGAGGCTTGAAATCATTTCTGAATGTTAAACTGCAGCTCAGGTGAAGACGGAGCGTCCGCGTCCAGAACAAGACGTTTCAGAAGGCGCCTCTATAAATATCAACACTTGTGTGCGTGTGTGTAGACAGGCACACAGTGCGTGTAGGCATGTACGTTTGTGTGTGCGCTCTAATTGAAAATGTTTCTGATTAAAGCGTAGTTGTCTCCATGGTAACTTGGAGAGGTTAAGCTGTGTTAACAGCCGATCAGAGTGGAGGCGGCTCATGTGAACGCTGACAGTCTGCTGCAGACACCCTGAACGCTTCACGCCATCTGTCAGCAGGACGGAGTTCAGCTTGTTGTTCAGCGCCGTGATTCTCGTTTCCACACTGACCCGTCGTCGTCGTGCACTCACAGCACAAAGACGAGGCTTTGTTTACAGCGTGCGACGAGTGGATACCGCTCGACGCGGTGGTGTTTGTTTCCAGTCTTGAAGCTGATTGATTTTGTTTGCAGTGTTTACAGACATCTCTGTTGTGAAACGAGGATGGATGGAGGGCGCTTTTTGGACCGCGCTGCTGTAATTGGTCACTGTGACACGCTGTCAGTATTAAGAAGCACTGGATTAACTCTGTCAACACTGTTTCTAGAAGAGTTTTGTAAATGAAATGGCTCCACTAAACAGACAAAAGATGCTGAGATTTTTAAACGTTGCAGATGTTTGTTGTTATTGATGTAAGGTGATGTGATGGGCCGCCAGGCTGCGTACAAGTTCAAATAATCCAAACATAAACCATAAACACTAAATGTAATTTGCAGCTAAAACAAAGACTGAAAGGAGAGCGCTTGCCACCTGCTCTGATTCCTGCAGTGGATATAAACACACTTAGTGTACAGAACTCCACAAAGACTAACTGAAAGGAGTAAAGACCCAAATATTAACACAGTCTGATAGTGGCTACAGCTCCATATGTGGTTACCATTAGAGTCTCATAACCAATAATAATTCTCATTACTGATGAGCGTAATTATTGGTTATCAGTAACGAGCCCTTTCAGCAGATTAGATGACCACGGTGATCGTGTATACGTCTGTGAGAAAGTCTCTCCTCAGAGACCTGCTGCACTGATTAGTTTGTCTGCGTGTGCGTGTGTGTTTTATCTGCTGGATAACAGCCTGGTACTGAAACCAGAGTGAGGAAACTTAATAGGAAAAGTTAATTAATGATGGAAGAAGTCTAATTAGAGGGCAGGTCAGGTCCCGGGCAGGTGCTCCACGTGTCGGGGGTTTGAGTTTCAGCCGTCACATGTCGTTTCCTGTCTTCGTTCCTGAACATCAACGCTAAGGTTTGTTAAACCGAACGTTAAATGGCAAATTAAAAATAATCAGTTCACCCTGTTCTCTCCAGTTACATCAGAACATGCTGAAAAAAAGCAGGTATTTAAATGCAAGTCTTATCTCTTATTCCACAACACTTAATCCTGGAATTCAGGTGTTTTAATTCCCATTGCTACAGATGTGTAAAATCAAACACTTAGCCATGAAGTCTGCTTTCTTTTGTAAAAGAATGAGTCACTCTTAAGATCCTGCTGAAGTTAGGAGTGGTACCGTAACAGGATGCCACTGTTGCAAAACAGTTTGTGAAGTTTCTTCAGTCCCAGATGTTCCACGATCAGCTGTCAGTGGTGTTATTTCAAAAGTGGCCGACCACAGAAAGCTACCAAGGGGAGCCATCAACCAAAATGATGAAGAGTCTCCAGCGCTCTGCTGACTCAGTAGCTGCAGAGCTCCAAGCCTCCTCTGGCTTTAACATCAGCACAAAAGCTTTGCACCGGGAGCTTCATGCCAAGGGTCTCTGTGGTCGAGCAGCTCCTGCAGGTGTAATGTGTAGGTGGCTCAGGGTTTTTGTCCACATGCTGTACTTCTTGTAAATTTGTGTATTTGAGAAACCGTTTCCAATCTTCCAAAATAACTAATGCGATTAAATCGAGTATGAAAAACCGTGTCAGTGCCCTTATGTCTAAAACATCTGTGTGCTGCAATGAAGAGGGAACAGCTGGCAGGTCATCAATGGCACATTTTTATTTACAGTAGCATCCTGTAAGAAAGCAAAGAATAAACAAGTTTTCTTACAAAATGAGTTTAAAATCTGCAGTTTAGAGTTTTTATTATTTGTGATTTTTTTTTTTTTTTAAATAAATAATGTCGTACATCTCAGTAAAGTCTCAGAGCTTCTCTCCCACCACGTGGTGAGCTGTTGACAGAGGCGTAAGACGTTACAGGGAATTAACAGACTCTTGTTTTCCTCCAGAATGACATTTCCCCCTCCCTCTGTCAGGTGAGCGGCTACAGCCTGCAGATGTTTTTAATGTAGATTTTAGTCAAATTAATTAGCGGCAGAAGATTAGAAGAGAATTAAAAGCAGTTTCCTTTTTCAAATTAATCTCTGTGTCAGATGGATTAAGAGCATGGGGGCATCGCTGGAGGTGCAAATGTAGCTCGTTTAAATGTTTTTCGCCGCATTTCTCCTCCAGATGTTTGAGCTGCTGAACGAAATCCTGATGTGTCGCTTTGTGTCCTGCAGGAGAAGCAGTCAGAGATGGAGAAACTGAAGCAGCAGCTGGTGGAGGTGGAGAAGCAGAGGGAGGAGCACGGGGACACCATCGGGAAACTCAAACAGGTAATAGCTTTGTGTCAGAGCTGATATATCTCGTTCCTCCAGTGTCCAAAGACTGCAAACTTTAATTCAGACCCACTCACACGGTTCTGTCTACGAGACCAAATGTGGTTTAATACGCCGCTGTAAATAGTCCTTTTCCTACTGTTTATAATGATAGAACAGAGAGCAGCTTTTATGAGCTTTATAAATATGGAAATACATTTGTGATTTTTCGTTTTTTTTGTAAATAAAGGTTGATGTTTACAGTATGAACCAGCGGGCTGAGACCATACACTGTATGTACAAGATGGACATAAACAGACACAAATACCTGTTTATGTATTTGTTAAAAAAACAAACATAACAGAAATTAATACTCGTAAATTTAAATTGATTAATTTGTTTTTTAATTTGTCAGAAGCAGGTAGCACGGTGGGATGGTGATTAGCACTGGTCCCTTTGGGTTCTCCAGCTTCCTCTCGCAGTCCAAAGACATGCAGTTAGTGGGGTTAGATGAAGTGGTGGTTCTAAACGGCCCATTCAATTAGATTTGAATCGGGGAAATTTTGCCTCAGACAGACAGAAATATTATAATTCTGATCACGCATCAGTACATTTCCATATTTTTATATTTATAAAAAGAAAGCTGACACTTGTGAGACTTTATCAACGGTGTGAACATCACAGCAGAGGCCTTTGTGTCAAAGTAGCTGAGGATGAAACAGAAAAACATGAAGGAGATTTTCCTGGCCTGAGATTTTATACAAATATTCTGCAGTCGATCAAAAACGAAGGAAAACCATTAATCAACACATGAACATGACCTGATGCTGCTGAGGTGAAGCAGAGCAAAGTTACAGTATATTTAAAAATCGAGTCAGGATTTTAATGAATCGATATCACGTTATCCAAGCTAGAATCGATTTTAATCAATAAATCGATTATCAACACCCACCCCTACACAGGAGCTGTCAATCATGAGTCTCTGCCCCGCCCTTCCCCTTCTTACGCGCTCTATACACTTCTTAATAAATGACAAAGAATTTTACAATAAGAAGTTAATGATACACAAATACATTTATTTATTTATTTCTAGCCATTCGAATGCTCGTTAAATCATGGTAACTCCGGTAACCTTTGTGCTACAGACAAAATTCCAAGGTGAGCTTTTCAGGGATCACAAAGCATTCACAACGCACTGCTGTCTGAACACGGGCAGAAAAATCCGTTCTGCCTAGACTTGAGTAGGTACGCTTAACGTTAGCGCTGCTGCTCATCTTTTTTGAGCTAGAGAGAAAATTCAGAATTCTAAAACAAGTCTATCACTGTATGATACTTGGATGATAAAGAGTGAAACACTTCTACAAGAACAAAGCAAAGAACATGATAAAAAGAAACAATAATGAGGAGACACAACGGGATCGAAAACATGGCCACACACCAAAGATTCACAAAAGCCTTTTAAAAGAGAAAATTTAAAGACGAGATTTAAAAGAGTATTTTGGTGTGAAGGGGCAGACGGTTCCACAGTTTAGGAGTCCTAATGGAAAAAGCCGATCACCTTTACTAGGATTTCTCCCAGCAGAGCTGAAGTGGTCTGCAGCACTGCAGCAAAGCTTTGAGCAGGTCCTCTGAAAGGTCTTTACATGGTTGATGCAGCGGCCCACGCTAGAGATAAAAGGAGACGGTCCCTTTGAGGCCGAGGTTTTTAACCTTTACAAATGTGTCACTTTGAACCCAGGAACTGTGGACCTGTTTAAAAAGCACCAAAATCTGTTTACTCTTCTCTTTGTTTATTCACCCAGCTTATGTGTTTTAGTGTCTGCCTTTAGCGTCACCCTCCCTTTATGCTGTGTGGAGGTGCGAGCGTCTGTTTAGCTTGGTGTTTGCACGATGCTCTGCAGATCACAGCACAGAATTTGTGGGCCAAAATGTTAAGGAACCAAAATAATTTGCTGATCAGATTTAAAATCAGCTACAGGCTCAGTATGGCTTGCTTTCATTTTGACATGGTTCTGGCTGCTGTCTGTGTTTTTGCTGGTTTGGGTTTTTTTCGTGTTTAATAATTTCATCAATCGTGACTCGTGACTGCAGATGAAAATGTTCATTTTAAGCTAGATCTGGCACGTTTACAGTATGGACCCAGGTGTTCATGTTTGGTATTGTGCACTTTTTTTAATAGTATAAAATGCCCTGAAAAAGTCAGAAAATATAATGTCTGACAAACAGAAGCAGTAAATTCTCAGTTCAGCAAATGTTTCTGGCGTTTTTACTTTGGAAATGAACTAGAACGATCAGAGTAACTGACAGTGATGTCTCTGACCTGCTTTCTTTGTTTAGGAGATAAAGGACACTGTGGACGGTCAGAGGATTCTTGAGAAGAAGGGAAGCGCAGCGGTAAGTTTACTGTTTATCTGACTGATGCTGCCAGAGACAAAGAGACGGATGGACTGTGTGAGTGACAGACGCAGACTGATGAACCGATACTGCAAGACGAGAATCTGATTAGCAATGAGAAAGGAAAAATATTTAGCAGAGTAATTTGAGAGCAGTGGTGCATGGAAAATAATAATTAGAAAATAGACCCTGTGTGTGTGTGTGTCTGTGTGTGTGTGTGTGTGTGTCTGTGTGTGTCTGTGTCTGTGTGTGCGTGTCTGTCTGTCTGTGTGTGTCTGTGTCTGTGTCTGTGTGTGTGTGTGTGTGTGTGTGTGTGTGTGTAGCTGAAGGATTTGAAGCGGCAGCTGCAGCTGGAGAGGAAGCGAGCAGACAAACTGCAGGAGAGGCTCCAGGAGATTCTGACCAACAGCAAAACCAGGACAGGTACTGTACACACCCCGAACTGTGATGCTGTCCTCATGTCTGCATGCCCCTACGTTTAGTTAAATGCTGGTATTGTCTGTTCATTCTTCAGTCCCACTGACGCAACATCAGCTTCAGAGTCTGAAAACCTTTAATCTGTTTCCTCTCATTCGGTGAAATGGTCAATTTTCCCATCAGGATTTACAAAACCAGAAAGAAGCCCCACCTATTTGCTCTGGTAGGTACTGTTAGCAGGGCAACCAATTAGAGGAAAACTGGCTTAAACAGTGTGACGGGGAGGCTGTGGCTCAGGAAGTAGAACAGGTCATCTGTTAATCGTAAGGTTGGTGGTTCTCTCCATGGCTGCTCTGATCTGCGTGCCAAAGATACTGTAGTTGCTGAGTTGCTCCTGATGCATTTGTTGGAGTGTGGAAGTTAAATAGAAAGGCCTTGGATATAGAAAAATGATATATGAATGTGTGTGTGAATGGGTGAATGAGACATGTTGTATAAAGCTTTGTGCCTAGTATAAATGTGCTGTACAAGAGCCAGTCCACTTGCAACCATGCAAGGGAGAGAGTGCAAGCTCCACACAGAAAGACCGAAGGTGGCTGTGGATTTGAGTCCAGGAGCATCTCGCTGACCGTGCTAACCACTGTGCTCCTGTGCTGCCTTGTAGTACACTTTAAAAGGAAACTATGGAGCTTGATATGTGCGTACATTTTTTTTTGTTCATAGCACTGCTGTCTATCGTTACCAATTCTCTTTCACGTGCACATTATGCTCAGAATCGCCCCTTTTTACAGAACAGATGTTAAGTAAGCAGCCCGTAGTTTTAAAAGGTGAGTCTTCTGTGGAGTAACACATGTACATTACATGGAGACTTTAACATTATTGTATGCCTCCAGGCTCAGGATGTTTTGAAAGGAAAAAACTGCCCCCTTGGTGTAAATAAGGTTTTTGATGACGATTTGATAAATTCTAATAATAGCTTTTTAAAAATGAGTCTACGTAGGTTTGTCCTGATTTATGCCTGTAATTGTTAAAAACGTTCCAGTAAAAAAACGAAAAGTCATCACAGAGATGCCTCAGGACACAATGTACAAGATTATGCTGACGTCTGCTGCTGACGAAACATTCACAAACACAGGGTATATGAGAAGCATGAAACATGTTGACACCATACCTGAAGTCATGTCACAGTTATTAGGTGTCGTTTCAGTAACAGCGGTCCAAGCTTTTGCTCGATGATACACTTGTCACAATCATGCCTCCAACCAATGAGCCAAGAGCCTTGTGCTCATGCAGCACAAGTTCATCCATGATCATCAGCATCTGTGCTGGAGGCTGGAGCCCTGGATGGCAATCAGTCGGTGTCTAAAGCAGGCGACCCACTTATCCTGGAAGAGCTGGGCATTTTAAAACCAGTTTCATGTCCTGTAAAACACCTGGTGTGATGTGCTCTGGATGGGAAACTCTGTTCCTCTCTCGAGTAATCTGTAGACATTAGCACTGCATGTTTCTGCAGGTTATCGATTGCTGCACACTTAGAGCTCCATAAAGCTGAACCTGACGGGACTCTGAAACTTAGAGGTAGAGGACGTAAATCCCCGAACAGGATGGTGCTCCCATTTAAATACTCCAGGAAGGAGAGACAGCAGTTTTTTTTTTGTGTGTGTGTGTGTGTGTGTGTGTGTGTGTGTGTGTGTGTGTGTGTGTGTGTGTGTGTGTTGTGTGTGTTGTGTGTGTTGTGTGTGGTGTGTGTGTGTGTGTGAGAGAGGCCAAGATGTGATTGTAACGTGACCAGTCCGATAATAGCGGCATGCTAGCCCTGCGTCAGGAGGTTCTGGCTCAGTCCGGAACCTCCTGCTTAATATTTAATGGAGCGCTCTGGTTCCCAGAGCTGAGCTGGACACACTGGCGTCTGCTGGCAAAACACAAGCAAATACACACACAACCAAAACACTTCTTGCCCACACCTGCATCAAATGGAATTTTGAAAGTTTTAACTTTTTCCACTTAATATTATTTAAATATTATTCTTTTATTGCATATTCTCTTATTCTCTGGTGCTTATTTAGCAGACTCTCTGTTGTCACACACACACACACACACACACACACACACACACACACACACACACACACACACACACACACACACAACAAAAACAAAACAACACACACACACACACACACACACACTCACTCTCAGTTGGTGCAGGGTAGTTCTGAGCTTCATGTATAATCTATGAGCAGTGCTGAATGTTTAAAAGCCTCTTCTGCACAAACCTGAGAATCAGACATTTTAAAGTAGCTACTTATCCATCTCTCCCAGTACCTGCCTTATAGGGACGTCCCAGAGCCTTAAAGGGGCAGTTTGTCGTTTTAACAGGACAGCGTGCTGCTTTAAAAGTGACAGTCCACGGCCTTAATGGTAAAGTGGGATGTCTTATAGAGACAGTTCATTGCCTTGGACAATAAAGGGACAGCCTGAAGGGTCGGCCAGTTGCCTTAAAAGGACATCCTTAAAGGAGTGACTTTGTCCTTTAAAGGGACAGTTCTCTCACTGCTGTCTTACTTGGACAACTTGCTGCTTTAAAAACACAGTTTCACTGCCGTAAACAGACAGCTTACTACCTCAAAGCAACAATCATACTCTTACAGGAACAGCCCACATTTAAATGGGCAGCTTACTGCCTTAAAGGGCTGTTTGCATTCCTACAGAAACGGCTTGCTGCTTTAAAAGGATGTCCACATTTTTTTAAAAGATTGTTTGACAGGCCAGCAGCTTAACAGGGCAGTTTGCTTTCTGAAAGCAATAACAGCCTTTATTGCCATAAATAGGTCTTATATGAACAGGAGGCTTTAAAATGATGTTCATATACTAAAAGGAATAGTCTTGGTCTTTAAATGGACTGTCCACATGCTTAACATGGTGGTCCAGTATCTTACAGAAACACTTCGGTGTTTTTAAAGACAGTTTTCTGCCATAAACGGCAACTTGCCACTTTAAACAACAGTCTTAAAGGGGCAGTGTAGGTTTTAATAGACAACTTACAGCCTTTAAGGGATGTTTGCAATCCTAAAGAGACGGCTTTCTGCTTTCAAAGAACGTATGCCCTCTTAAAAGGTATATTCACCAATCCACTGCTTAAAGGGATCATTTATTGCCATAAATAGACCTTATGTTACTGCTGTGCTTTGAACAGTGTCCTGCTTTAAGCACACTGAAGAAGAAAAGAATCAAGATGTTGCAGTGCTTCAGTCCATGTCCAGACCTCAGCCGGATTATAATGCTCTGTCAGGACCTTAAGACAGTTGTGCGTACATGAACGCCCACAAACCTCAATGAACTGAAGCAAGGTTGAGTGGGCCAAAATTCTTCCCCAGTGATGTGAGAGACTGATGAAGTCATATAGATGCTGCTAAAAGTGTTTCTACGAGCTACTGAAACATGGAGCGTTCTTAATTTCTCACAGGACTGAACAGACTCAAAGTAAAAGGCTACGTATTAAAAGGTGGTTGAAGTAAAAGTCTTTGTCAAACAGCTGGGGGATTTAGAGTTTGTCTGGGGTGGACTGCAGCTTTAAAGAGGTGAATATGTCCTGATGCTTAGAGTGAAATTGTTGTTCTTTCAGGTTTGGAGGAGCTAGTTCTGTCAGAGATCAACAGTCCCAGTCGAACTCAGCAGACCGGAGACTCGTCCTCCGTGTCCTCCTTCTCCTACAAAGACATGATGAAGGAGTCTCAGTCGACCAATCAGAATAAGGTGGGTGGAGCTCCTCGTCACCTTAAACACAGAGCTTGATGTCTGTGACACTTCAGGCTTTGGTGTGGACATTATCCCAGCCAGCACACTCAGCTCCAACTTACAGAGAAGGCAGTGTTTTTCAGTTTGCCTGATCATGGTGCGTTTGAATGGCTGCCATGCACTCATCTGTTCTCTCTGTTGACTGGTGTTTGGACCTCGTCTGGTTCAATATCTCACGTTATTATTTATTTATTTTTCATTGTACTGATGGTGGTTCATGGCTGAAATGTGATCAACATCATGAATCTCAAAATCCAAACACAAACATGAACATCTGAGAATATGTCCTGTCAGCCTGGAGTCAGCAGCTGCTTAAGCCAGAGTGGCGTTCTGGCTGAACGCCTGAAAATGCTGAAAACGTTCCATCAGTACTTCATACATGACCAGCAACAGCAGCTGGATCGTCTTCAGGATGTGGAGATTCCGGCCGGCTCTGGATTCAGCCGTGAGCGAGATCACAGATCGACTGATTGAGGAAACGGTGAAAGGAAAATTTTCTGATGGGCCTTTTAATGCTGCAGCTGCAGTTTGCTGGTGTTACTTTGTGACAGATTTACGCATCATTAAAGGCTTTACTGGATACGACTTCTCTGCTGTTCAGCTACTGGAGCACACATTGAGTGCTTACACAAAACCTCAGGCAAGTTGAAGAAATCTCAATTTCAGATGAAGGTTTAATTGAAGTGCTACTTTGTGTCTGCAGCTACAAACTAATGCTGTTGGAAGGACACATTGTTTTCATAGCAACAGCTATAAAAGGTTAACATCTGAGGGTTTTTTTTAACCTTCTACAATAATAAACTGAGTAAAATGTGTGATTAAAATATGTTCACATTCAAGGCCATCTTCTTGTTCACCTCTGGACCATTTCCTGCAAAGACCCAGGTTCAACTCAAAGTTCAGTTAATGTGATGTAAAATTTCAGCCATGCTGGAAGCTGTGTGAATATGCCCAAGAGTAGGATTTTAAACAGGTTTTTATGGAGCTGCTCTCAGAACCTTCTGATAACTTTTGCCTTTTTGTTTGAATACTTCAGGCTTTAGGAAAGTGAAGCAGAAAATTAATTTGGCAGAATAATGGAGAATAGCCCTGACCGGCTGTGTGCTTTCATCACATTAAAATGTAAACCGTGGTATTTATTAAAGCTGTGTTAAAACTAAATGTAAGCAAAAGTCACAGTTTGAAACCTCGACAGATAAAAACTGTCATGTTAAAAGTGGATTAATTCGTGTTTTTACTGTATTCAGTGAAAGCTAAACAAGCTTCTGCTCCTGACCTCTTAGCTCTGTGTCAGGTCGAATCACGACCTCTGACCTCCAGGTTGTATTGAAAGACAGATTTAACTGTAACATCCCGTCATCCTCTCTTTTGTTCTTTTATTACGTTTTACAACTGATTTATCTTTAAAGTTCCTGGTGCCATATTTATCTGTGTGTGTGTGTGTGTGTGTGTGTGTGTTTCTATTGATAGAAACACTGTAAATAGAGCTGACAGACTCTCTGTATGTCGATGAGTGTTTCTGTCAAAACATGACACTGCAGAGTCCTCCATCACTTCAGTTTACTGTGGTGATGCGGTTGTTATTAGCAACAGCATCACATGAGAGAAAAGAGGGTTTGATGATGTCCTGCTGCTGCAACGTTTCCCATCAGACACCTCTGTGATGATTAAAGCCTCAGCGTGCTTCAAAGGTCCCGTTTTGGTCCACACTTTAAATTTTAATGAGAAACTACAAACTGAATGCTTTTGTGTGCATTCAGACATATAGATCTCAGTGGGCTGATGATGATGACTTTTTTCGCTTGTTTCCATCCGACTTTAAAGTTCGGCTCAGCAGAGTTTAACACGCGAGACTACAAAGTCTGCTTATTATCTTGAACCCAAACTGTGACAGCAGCTGCTGTACCGAAGTGTAAAAGCAGAACAGACTGTGGCAGCAGTTTGATCCTCTCACACACAACTGAGGTAATGTTCATGTTAGCAAGCCTGTGAAAGGCAGCAAAAGCTTCTGGCACAACTTCACCTGCTTCCAAGATGCATAGAGAGGATGAAACGATTCACAATGCAGGAACTCCCGCAACACTTAAGAGAAGAGGAACAACTTTATTGATTGACCAACGTGTAAATCTGCTAATAAGCTCTCTTATCAAATAGCTCACATGCCTCCATAATGGAAGAGGAGAAGTTCTGTCTTAGAAACCTTTTCTCAGGTGGAAATACGACACTCTCACAGTTGCATTTGAGTCTCCTCATGTGGCACCATAATTTTTTTTTTTTAAGACGTCTGTAGTTTGGCTTCACTGTCCTGCCATTAGCACCTGACTGTACCAGCAGGAAGCTGCACATCAGACACTGTAACCTCTGAGATACAGCGAATGATCAGCTTTTGAGTTTGATTAAACACAGAAAAAGCAGTTACAGCGACGAGTCTATTACCAAACATTATTGTGTCTGTTTTCCTGATGATCCTGGCCAGTGTGTTTAACCCAACTTAAAAGAGTGGTTATAAAAGTGTTGTTATTTCCATCCTGGCGTTCCACACATGTGCAGTACATCACACACAGCTTCAGTACTTTTTCTTTACAAATAAACTGTTAACGATAAGGCAGCCTCAACCTCATCCGATTCTTTAGGACTCTTCCCTGTGACGTGTCCAATAATGTGACGAGTTCCCTCTTGGTTGCATAATGAGCTTCTGGGTTTGAATGAGCTCTGAAGTGCTATAAAGCAAGGCAGCAGAGCTTTCACATTAACTGAAGCCTCTGTGTGTGTCTGTCAGTCCGGAGGAGGCAGCCCTCAGTCTCAGCGCCCCGCCGAATTATCCGATGATGAGGTCGGAGAGCTGTTCCAGCGGCTCGCTGAGGTTCAGCAGGAGAAATGGATGCTGGAGGAGAAGGTGAGGAGTCTTTGGCTAAACCGGAAAGCAAACTATAAGTCCTGTTCCTGAAGTCCTAAGCACATGACACAGGAGTGGAAAACTAACAGAGAAAGCAGAACATTCTCCAAGTCCTGATTTAACGCCTCACTTGTGCCTTTTAGAGGCTTTAATGCTTCTCTTTGTTATTCGACTCAACAGTAAAACGTCTGTCCTGTTTTTAGATGCAGGTTTGTATTTTTAGATGCATTATTAATGTCTGTTTAATATTTAGGTAGCTTGTATAGTAGCACTGTGAGGCCAGTGGATAATTCAGCAGAACTTTATTAATCACTTAAATATTAATAAGTTGTTTCAGGTTTAATGATGCTAAAGAAAGGACTTAGTTTGTTGTTACATAAACACATTGTGACATCAGTGAATACTAATTGTGTTTTTTGTCTGTTTCAGGTGAAACATCTGGAGGTGAGCTGTTCATCGATGGCTGAAGACATCTGCAGAAAGAGCGCCATCATAGAGACGTACGTGATGGACAGCCGCAGAGGTGAGAAATCATTTCATCTCCTCACAGAAACATCTGGAACTTAACTGTAGTTAGTTATGGAGCATCTGTGATTCAGTTTTTGTTTCAACCACAGACTGTGATGACCAGGAACATTTCTTTTAGCAAAAAAGGCAAAAACATGTCAAAGACGGCTGTTGGCGTCATGAACGTGTGTGCAGGCAGGAGTGGTCAGAAAGTGGAGATGTGGTGTCGAGTCCCAATTCATGGGAAACAGCCATGAATGTCATGTCAGGACTGCTGTGGACATCCACTCTGTGACTCAGCATTATTAATAATAGTTAGCTCCTGACCTAGCTAGCTACATTTCAGCTTTTTTCTTCTGTGGAGCCGGGCTCGATGCTCACAGGTGTGAGGTGTGGTGATTTTGGGTCTGTATATTGTCACTGAGAGCTGAGCGTTAACATGGTCATCTCATCTTTAACTGTGAGTCACGAAAAGCTACTTTAGTTGAGCCTAAGACTAAAAACATGGAGCTGGAAATGGATATGATATCTATCGATACTCAGTTTGCTGCTACAGTTTTGTAAACACCGGAGCTGGAAATGCTGTCCTCACAAACTTTATGACATCACCATTGCTAAACGACTCCGGGCTCTTTTTCTGCTTTATGATCTGTAAAGTAAGCACCAGGTAGGAGTGTGATGTAGTTCAAAGAAAAAGATTTTCTTTAAAATGCTGATTATCTTCATTTTTAGTGTTTTGGAACATTTAACAGACCGAGGTACAAAACGGTTATTTAATATGTCTTTGAAATAATCCTCGTCTCAGTGGTAAAACTGAGAGAAGAGTCGCTGGTGCAAAGTGCTAATCCAAACTCTGAGGTACTTAAAGTGCGTCAGTCAGCAGAAAGTTAGCCAGCTCAGCACGTCGTTTATCTGACGGTGACACTTAATTAGAACCACTTTAATCTGCCGCTTCACTTACCTGCGCTCAGGTTTACATGGACTCTTTGTGTTTGGAGAAAACAGGAACAAGCGGTGGAAAAAACAGGCGTGCTTAACACTTTCATGTGCCGCTCGTGCCGAGCCGTTTCCACTGCAACACGACGGAGAGAAGTTCGTGCTGGACGGATGTCAGGACGGAGAAACTCGTTGGTCTGAGTGATTTTCACTTTCCCACGTCTCTGTAAATACATTTGTACGTCTCTGATGTTTCACCGCTGCTATATTTATCCGCTCGTCCGTCTTCAAAAGGTGACGCTGCCGTGTGTGAAGTGTTTTTAATAACTTGTGCAGCTATCAGCAGACTTATTTTTCAATCAAGTATCGTCCTCCTCGTCTGGCTGAAGTTATGTTCAAGGTCATCATTCCTGGCCTCACAAACACTTTGTTTGGTCACACCTGGACCATTTGCCAGATTTTGACTCACCTGAGGAGCACCAGTGTTCACCGCACAGGTGTAAGAGGTGCAGAGGTCCACTTCAAACGACTGATTTCAGCTTGTGTTGTAATAAATGTGGCTCTTTAGAATGAATTAGAAAGTTGGTCGCTGCTGCAGAAGAATATGATAGATATCGTGTGCCTTATTTTTGTGGCTTTGATTTCTGTGGTAAAAAAATCAAATTAAAGCCGTAAAATAGAACAATCTGAACACTCGTGCAGTCTGAGTGTGAACTGCAGATGGACTGAAACGTGGCAGGTTTGGATTTTAAACAGAAGTAAACAAAAAGCAGCTTCTCATGTTAATCCTCTCGCTCCCCTCAGTGTAAAACTCTTTGAACGACTCTGTGGGAAATGTGCTGTATAAATAGTTACCTTTCCTCCATCCCTCCCCCCCTCGTCCCGCTGCCTCACGCTGTCCTTTCTCTCCTGCTGTTTTCAATTTCATGTTTGACTGCTTCAGCCCTCCTCTGTCTCTCCATTCCACTCCCATTAACGCAGTAATGATGGTAAATCTAATGGGCAGTAAAACTGAGAGCGGAGCTGCTTCTCTAAAGGCTGGACTGTCTGTGTGTGTGTGAATATTTCAAACTGCACTCGTTAGAAAAGCACTCGCACACACAGTTATATGCTTTACATTCAGTGTTCATTTACATTTGTTTAAAACTTGTCTTGAAAAGCTGACTGAGCGCGCTGCAGTCCGTTTAACCAGCTGCAGAGTTTCCAGCATGATACGAGGAGCAGCTGAGTGGGCGGTGCCTTGCTTGAGGGCTTCTCGGCAGCTCCTGGCGAGATGATGACTCACTGATATTGTGATCGTCAGAATCTGGGTGAAACAGGCTTTGGAGGGATGACAGAGTCACCCCAGTAAACCGTATAAACGATTTATTGTGATGATAGGAAACAAACCGAATAGATGAGCTGCCGATGATTGATGACGGGGTTAGCTGACTCGGCTACCAAAAACGAAATGTTCAAAGCCACCTGTAACTACCCAGAGTGTGTCTTGCACCACAGCCCTCGTAGATAACGTCCATGATCTGTGTTGCAAACTAGCAGCGTGGGAAGATTTTTGATGTAGAACATAAATGGCTGTGTGTCTGCTGTGCTCGAGTAAATACAGACGTAACTATTCAAGCAGTGTGTAACTAAGCAGGTGAGCCTGCTGGTACTATTAGCACTGCTAATGTTAGCCACACTGTGTTTTCTTACTGTTAGAGTCAGTTTTTAATGTCTGTTTCCATGATTGGTGGCGAGCTTCACCTCTGTGTTCCTGCACGCAAAGACCCCAATGAGCAGATCCCCGTTATCGAGCAGGCTCTTGTTCGTGTGTCCTACGATGGATTCTTGGGCTCTCTGGCTTTTTATTAGGAATCTTTGTGTAAATTAACTGATCATTTTGTTGAAGCAGAAAAATAGGACAGTTTTTAGTGTTTCAGAAACCTGACCGCTCTGAGAGGAATCTAGAGTGATGTTTCAGGGTTTCAAGGTCACGAATCTTATAATTTCAGTAATGTTCCTTCCCGAAGCTTTGTGTGCAACGTTTGGTTAGAAATAAAGGAAAACACCAAAACAAACAAACCTCCTGTTTCCACTCCTCACCCTCCTCTTCATCTCCTTGTTCTTATCTCCTTATTTCCCTGTTGTGACTGCTTCTGGTGTTTTCTTCGGGCCGTTTGACCAGCATGTTTCTTTTAAAACGAATCTCTGTTGAATCTCGCGTCTTTGCTTTTTTGCTCAGATGTGTCGGGGAGCACGGTCGGAGGTCACGGAGGCTCTCAGGGAGACCGGGGAGGTCTGGGTTCGGTCCTAAGAGAGCTGGTGAAACCAGGAGACGAGAATCTGAGGGAGATGAACAAGAAGCTGCAGCACATGTTGGAGGAGCAGCTCACCAAGAACATGCACCTGCAGAAGGTAACGGTCCACACCAACATGCTACATGGACAGTTTCCACGGGGTGAGGGTTTAGTTCTATAAAATATCCTTTAAATTACCGATTCAAACACACACAGGGTGATGATTTTCATCTTCACCGACTTGACTGTTTAGACCAATAACAGCAGAAAGTACAGCCTGGAAGTTTCACAGGTGGCTAAACAATGTTTTTTCAGATTGGCTGAGACTGATTGAAGTGTTTCCACAGGTCTTATTATTAATTTTTAATCTGCTAATCCATCAGTTTGCTGCATTCATCTTTGTCCAGGAAACCTTCACTGATCTCATTACTGAGAATGATTAATTAATACAGCTGAAAGAAATCTGATAGAAACATCAATAAACACTTAATAAAAGACTGAAGATGAAACACGTAAACAATGTATGTACAGTTTCATTAAGGTAATGTACACACACGGAGACCATCAGCCTTGTGGGTTTCTTTATGTGGTCACTCCACCCTTTTCCAGCTAAGAACCATCAGCTCAGACTTGGAGTTGATGGTTCTCATCCAAACCACTTTGCCCCAGTGCGAGGTCATCGCCAAAACAGCGAATGTCCATGGTCTACCACTCGCTTTTATCTCACACAAACAATTACACACACGCAGTAACAGCAAGTGTAGCAATCTGTGCTGTGCATACGGGCGCTTTGATGAAAATGTGACAGCACGCCACGTCAACGCAACTGCTGTGATTGGCCTGTTCCGTAACATTGATTCCTCCTATGCTTTTTTCTCATATAGCATTTCACCGCAGGTTTGAATGAATCACTGAGAGAATATCAATCATTGTCTCAGCATAAGGAATAATCATCGCTCTTTCAAGTGTCAGATCTTCCTAGAGGGAGATCGTTGAAAGTATCAGGCGTGAGGTAAAGTCCAAAGATGTGGAAACACTTCAGGGACAAACACGTTTGACTTTGAAAAAGAAACAAAAAACACACTGCAAGAAAAAATGGGGGGAAAAGTCCTGACATATTATTTTTTTCTATCGTGGCTCACACACACACACACACACACACACACACACACACACACACACACACACGGCGAAGGTGAAGTTGTACAAAGATTCGCTCAGAAGTCTAAATCAGCCATAAATGGGGATGTTCATGGTTTTTGAATAAAAATAAAAAAGCTTACAAAGCTTAACCTTATGCAAAAACAAATTTGTCATAAAATATAAAAATTATTTACGTTTTTACGGACATCTGTCCGATCTGTCTTGTGCATGTAGTGTACCACTACCACCACAAGGTGGCAGTAATCTATCTGCCAGCTGTTTGCCAGCTTACAGTTCCGACAAAAACGGAGGAAGCAGATGTTGCGTGTTGGATTAGAAACGAGAGCACAAACAGGAGAAAGATGCACAGCCAAGGACGACTTCAAAAAGTAATCGAAAAATTCGGCCAGGTGAAGCCCAACCCCCCACAAGTCTGCTGCATCTAAGATCAGTTTTTAAGAGAGCGAGTTGGTTTAGGGCAGAGCTTCCCAAAGTGTGGGGCCCGCCCCCTGGGGGGGGGCGCAGAGCCATTGCAAGGGGGGCGCGGCATGAAAAGGGAAAAAAAAAACGCTTGGACACTGCTAGCATCATGGACAGGTTTTTGACGGGGCTCCACACGAACGCAAAGCAGGAGATGAAGCATCGCTGAATATGTTTCCAAATAAACTTCATTCTAAGCCAAAGACTAGAAAACCTGGTGAAGCATCTTCCCTTTGGTTTCACCTGCACAAGTGCCGAGGTAGGTCTCCCTGCAGAATTGGTTTTCCCTTCATCGGGAGCAGCGCTGGGCTCTCCAAATCACGGACAAACAGGATCCCACATTCTTGACTTTTAGTTCACAAACACTTCTTGTAATGACTAACTGCTCCTGACATGTTGGAGATGTTTGCTCTTTATACAGTAAAGTTACAGCAGGACACAAATAACATCAGGCTGATCCTGCCACGATCTGTTCCCCCTGTCCAAATCACAGACAAACAGGATCCCACAGCTGTTTATGTTTTTAAACCCATTTTGCACAGAGAGACATTTTTTGATTTGATAGTAATGTTGAACATGATTACACAGGAAAAAAACAACTACACGTAAAGTAATCACACCGTGACGCCTCAGCCTTTGTAAATGGAGGGACAGTAACTGCATGTGTATATGTAAGCTGTAAAACTGATGATAGTCAGATTAACAGTATTTTGTCTCTATCTGCCATTCTGCAATTCCTCTCATCTCATAACATGTGCACAGCGTGACGTGAAAAAAGGCACATACCTTTGACGCTGCGTGACCAACTCTGTATTCCTCGTCCACACGTAAACGCAAAAAAGGAGTTTTAAAAAATCTCCGTTTTCGGTGATTCAAAACGCCGTTTACGTGGACGAAACAGCTGCGTTTTCAAAAATACCCGTGTAGGTGCGGACGCAGCGTAAAAGAGTTAGTAGATTATTTTCGTTCTACCTGCAGATTACTTGTATTTGCTTAATTGTTTAGTAAATGTTTGAGGTGTGAATAAACCGCAGTGCAGCAAAATATGGGCGTGTGTGGTTGGAGGACGTGTTTTGCTTTTTTCTTGGGGGGGGGGACATTTTTCTTGTAAAACAAAGAGGGGCCTAGCGAAAAAAAAGTTTGGGAACCTCTGGTTTAGGGGGAGAAATTCAAAGAATTGACTTTAAATGTCCCATTTGTCAACATTTTATTTTGAAAAATCGTTTTCTGCTTACCAGTCCAGCCACATCCCATTCAAAATAAAATGGCTACATATCTGATCAATCAGCTGAGAGAAAATTCAGTTTTCAGAGCCTTCAAGCACAGATCAGTGGCTTTAATCATGGAACAACCTTTTTCCATGAAATGTGTCTTATTAAGTACTTGTGTTTTTCACACTGAGCGTACTGCAGCTGTTAGTAACAGATGTTGTAAATTACAAAATGATGTTTTACTTGAGGCACTTGCTTGAAATCATTTCAATTACTGAGTTCACAAATTTGTAGCTTATAGGTTTGTAATAATTCACTTTTGTGATACAGACTATAGTCTGGGCTCTGCTGTTATTTTCTTTTAGCTGCAGATGAATTAAATGATAAAAGATTAGATTGTATCTCCTGGTCTTCATGTTCAGAGTGAGATTTTATCCAAAAACGGGTGCTGCTGTTTCAGAGATGGGCTGTAAAGCTGTTGATATATAAACATTTTCTTTCTGTTTTCTGCAGGACCTGGAGCTGTTGTCCCAGGAATTAGTTCGTCTCAGTAAAGAGAGCAGTCCCGGTAGCAGTGCTGCTGGGTCAGGATGAGGCTATCACCTGGATTAATCCATGCAGTCACTTCCATCTCACCACTACCATTCACCTCAGCTGGAAGGTGTCAGCCAGACTCAGGCTAACACCTGGAACCAAGTTTTCTTCCTTACCCCATCTCTGCGCTAAGACCTGCTGTAGGCTCTGACTACTGCCTGAAGCTGTTATGTTTTCACCATTTCAGCCTGGGTTGCGACTAAATGCTGAAATAATGTCCATGTCATGCTTTTCAGCCTGGAGGAAGCAGTACTTTTTAAAGGCGTAGAAGAAGACACTGAATGGAAACACTGAGGATATTAAAAGCTGGCCTCAACTCATGTACGTCTATGTTGAATGTACTGTCATTAGAGCGCACTGCTCAGTTTGCTCTGAGTCCTGGCTACGACCTGCAGTGGTCACATTATAACAGACTCGTGCTTTCTGTTGTCTGTAAATCTTTGCTTTCACTGGTTTCTACTTTATGTCTTAACACTCTGTCTGTCTGTCAGGGCCTGGCTATATCCTGAAGGACGCTTATCCTAAACGACTGACATTGGTTCCTGTATGCAGTAACTCTGTTGTGATCTGATTATGTCCCGTCTGCTAACGAATCGCACATTACTGAGTATGTGGGCTATGTCTATGCTGTCAGCTGACCTTTTTGATCTTCTTAGGGAACCAAATGTACGATTTTTATGAGGTCCTCATGACACCTGAGTAGCCGCCCCCCCCCCCCCCCCCCCCCCAAATCTTAACAAAAAGAGCAGTTGATTTGCGATTTATTCTGAAAGTTCAGTTCGCCACTGCCTTGTCTTTCCTGCCTGCATGGTGGTCAGGTCTCTGTTGTGGTGTCCTCTATGTCGTTCAAACTCTCGTCCAGATGTGTTCACTTCTGACTTTTATATCAGTGGCTACGACCATCTAACCACCAACAGACCTCCAGAGCAGACCGTAGACTCTGAGGTGAATGACGTCAAAGACACCACAGAAACTAGGCCAGGAAAGTAGTACGAGGCTAGCTGTTTGTCAGCAACTGAGCTTTCAAAATAAAATACTTACTTTTTAAGCAGTTTCAACCAGAGAATGAGCGATAATCCACCAGCTGTTGCAGCTTTAATCACCTTTTCTTTGGTGAAACTCAAGTTTTACACGTTATAGTGAAACTGTGATGACACTAAAAAAAACAAAAACACTTCTTATTAAGTGTTTTTCTAAAAGAACTTCATTCCATAGGAAAGCTTGTTTGCTTTAACAGATTTAACATAACCACCAGAAAAAATAAATGCCTGTACCTTAAAGACTACCTACAAATGTTCACGTTAAACTTCCTGTTAATCTGTCAGCTGGTGTCACACGTTAACTGATTGTGTCCTTAGATTAATTAAGAGTTGCTTTATCTGTCTGTGTTGGGCTGTGGCTACGTCCAGGAGTTCACAGTGTGAAATGTCTTAGGCGTCACAGGTTCCAGCCTTTATTTATTGCTTTTTATACACTTTAGGATGCAAAATGGTCTCCCGTGTGTTTCAGCGCCTGCCACCAGAACAGTCATTAAAATTCATCAGGGATGGCAAAGGGATCCAGGCTTAGACTATTAGCTGGATTTTCAGACACAGTTTCTTTTGTCGAACCTAGTGTGACCGTGTTTCTGTGTTTCGATGGCTTTTATTCAAAATAACATCTCCGAGAAATAAAAACTGAAACGCTAAAATATTAAAACACCAGATTTTGTGATTATGTTTCCCTTTGTTTTAGTCAGGTTACTTTGGATAAAACCTGGTTTAAAAACATCATTGATGACAAACAGCAATCAGTAATAGCTGGACAAGGAAAAGTCTGCACAGCTTTAATTAGCGTGACGCAGCCTGGGATCCACAATGGTTCAACAAAAGCTAAATGACTGCCTTGGTGTGGTCTGTGTCTATATCCTGGATGAAAAGAGCTCTAACATTTCTTGCACTATTATCAGTTTGTGAATACTTCCCTCTTTACCGGAGTCACCAAATGGCACACAACAAAGACAGTTTTCAGGGTTTTTTTTGCTTTTCTGCAGGGTGGGTCTATTTCCTGCTCTATAATGTTCACTGACTTTGACTGTATCGTTGCATTTATTTCTGTTTCGTGAAATCTGACAGGAAGTGACAGACACTTCCCTTTTGCTTTGCTTTTGTTTCTTCTGGACTCTGGATCATGGGCCCTGACTACGCCCTGGATTATACTCTGCCCCAGGCTAGCTCCATCTAACTGGGCTGTGATTATATCCTGGACATTATGCTTGTAACAGATTTTGTGTTTTATGTTATAACTGCCTGTATATCACTGCTTTTTTTTGGTTTTTGGTTTTTTTTGGGTACACTGCAGCACATATCCAGCACCGTCTGATGTTAGGAGTTTAAAATGTCAACATGTGGGAGGAAAACTCGAGCTGTTTCTGGTGCAGCTTTAAGGATTTTCAAATCTTAAGCTCAAGGGTGTTTAAACCAAACGTTAAGCAACTGAAAATTTCCCCAAAATGATCACTTAGCAGTTGAGCTGCACCACAATCAGATCTTTTTCCACTTTTGCTTCAAAGATGGCACTAACTGATCCACTGGGATTGGTCTATGTGCTGGACAGGGACTCGGCTGGAGCTTTTTGTTTGTAATGTTTAAATCTGTACATAAACGCTGCGATATGACTTCTAACTGTATGAAAAATCAACTGCTCTATTTATGAAGCCGATAATGATCATGACGCTAATTATTGTAACTATGATGAAATGTGATTTAAAAAAAAAACTGTCTGAACATGATGATCACGTGTTCGGGTTTTTTCGGCTCAATTTTTCCAACATTTTACTGCCTTTAAATCAAAGCTTGATTTTGGCGATCTGAACGCAGAATTCTCCTTCATGCCGTCAAATATGCAGGACGAATGGTGGTGCCGATTAGGCCTGGACATTTTATCAGATTTTAGTTTCAGTTACGACTTTGCCTGCCAATGAATATGAAAGCGGATCTTATCAGGCGCGCCCCATTTCTAACAGGGCTCAGTGGTGGCATTTGATAAAGCAGCTCAAAAAGAAACCAAAGGCGTATTTCTCTTTAGTTTCAGCTTTGTTCCAACAATCAGTCCAGACTAAACCTTTCTAATATTATTAAATTCATCCAGTGTTGAGAAGTCCTACCAGACTGAAGTTTAAAGACTGTACAACAGCACAAAAACTCTCTGTGGGGTCATCAAGGGGTCACCAGCTGTTACCACCTAAAAGTGAGATGTTGCAAACAGTAAACATTGTAAAATATTGTAGGTTAATCTGTGGAGGATGATCTGGTTGCCTGCAGCCGTCTGTTTCTCAGTTGTTTTTGCCCGTCTGTGAGACAAAGGTTGGTTGTTGGCTGCAGCTCGCTGTGACTGTGCTGGATTGGCATCTGTCTCACAGACATCGGGCGGCTCAGGTGGTCGACCAGGTCGTTTACCAAACTTCAATCAGAAGGGAGTGGACGGATCTCGTCCTCCTGTGCATGTGTCAAAGTATCCTTGTGCAAGATGCTGAATCTCAATTCGCCCCTGATATACATCGGAGTGTGTGTGCGTGTGTGTGACGAAAGACTGGTTCGTTTACCATGATCATCACCCCCAGTACAACCCTGTCTCCTCTGTTACCCCAGACTTTATATTTTATCTGTTTGCCTTTTGAATTAATTTTTAAATTCAATGAAATCCATATATTTTTAAAGTATAAAGTGCCCGACACTTGTTATGAATAATATGAATCATCATGTTGAATAAAATCCTAATTTCGGAGTCTCCCATAATTTAGCAGCAGTGTCTGACCAGTTTGGGAGGCCCTGAAATTAAGATAAATGGACAGAAAAATAAGAAACAGAGGAGTGAAGAGGAGAAAGGGAGCAGTCGGGCTTTGAAGGATGCTGTAGGAAATCACACACAGGTGTTTTTCAGACTTTTAGTTCTTAAACATTTCTGCTAGTTTAATCAGTGGCACGGCATGAAGTTGAAGTGTTAGTTTTTCTTCTTTAGCTGGACAGTCCTGATCAAAATAACTGAAGAATTATTATTTTGAAATGATTTGGGGCTCTGTCTAAGTCCTGGATTAGGAAGGAGTCTGAGTTCTGGCACCACGTGTTTGAGGATCAGCTCCTAAAAATCTTCTAAAAGTTGAATGAAGTTCGGTTTCTTCGGAAGTTTCACTCTTCAGACAAACGTACAGGAGGGCAGACTCCGCCCTCTCTGCCATCCCACAATCCTCGCTGTTTCCTTTTTTTCAGAATCCAACTCTTTGTGTTCCCAGTAAAGTTTGGAGATGGAGGTCGAGCTTCGCGGCTCTTTGCAGGGAGATGCCGCCTGGCTCAGCACTAATTAGCTCTCGGGCGCTTCCTGTCCCACAGAGAGAGGCGGATTAAAGAGGTGACCGCTCACCGCAGACGGGGTCCACCTTAACGAGATAGCGCCTGATTGGCCAGGCTGTGGGTTAATTGAAGGGGAGAAAGTGATGAGTTTTAATTAAAAGGAAACCTCAGAGGGAGGCCGACAGCCCGAGAGCTGTATTTCTCTGATTCGTCACCAACTTTACTCTCAAACTTTTTAACTATTCATTTTTTGATGACACTGATCTGAACCTGCAGTTTTTCAATAAGAAACACTTGTTTTCTACTAACTTTGTGACTTTAATCTTCAAATTTTCATGAATTTCTAACCTTATAGAGGCAGCACGGTGACGCTGTGGTTTTGTTGCCTCACAGCAAGAAGGTTCTGAGTTTTCACGGGTTCTCTCCGATACTCTGGCTTCCTTCTTTTCTCACATATTAATCATATTCTGATTTTGTTCAGTTGTCAAATTTAGGCCTATATTTGGATCCAACAGTGTTATTGATGCTTTGCTCCCTAATCTTGTGAATCACTGCCTCATTATTAGTAACGTTTCCTAAACTCTTCCTCGCAGTAATTATCACTGTAACTAAATGTTTTTCAAAAGAAGGACAAACTGCAAAAAAGGCAGGAGACACTGGGAAATGAAAGAAGAGAGGACGGAATAAAAAATAGAAATGACGGGAGGAGATGAGTGGAGGAGAGAAAAAGGATGAAACGACCTGAGGCCTAGAGGGCAGGAAGTGAAAGAAGAGATGAGATGAAGATGACAGAGAAGAGGGGAGGAGATAAGATGAGGAGGTGAAACAGTAGCAAAGAGATGAGGAGAGGAAGGTTATCTTCTGGTGATCGTTTGCATTAAATTCACTCATTTCTGTTCATAAAGATGCTCAAAGAACCTTAAAGGGTCCTATAAACTGTCTGTTTTGTTGCTATGGGTTACATGAACTTTACACTCTCCGTCTCCATTGTAGAGATTTGAGGACTTGAGTATCTGGGTAAAAAGTGCAAACTCACTCTTCTTATTTCTCTTTTCTTTCTTTGAGGTTCACTTTAGAAATACACGTCAACGTTACGGTCTCAATCTCATCAGATGTGTCACAGCACCAAGCGCCAACCGTGCCCAGCTACTCACTGAAAAAAAATATAGTGCTGGGTTTATTTTTTATTGAAGGGCTGCACAGAGCGGATGACAAGGGCATGAAGTCCGACAGAGGAACAGAATAAAGAATGTGCTCAGATTTCAAAATAAAAGACCCCATGCAGAGTAAAAGTGCGAGTGGGAGTCATGCAGACCGCTTCACAGACATGAACCAGGTGCCCTGCCAGGGTTAATCTACCGTTTAACCTCGACATGCTCATGCGTTACAC